TTACAGTGCTAGACGCTATATACAAGAAAAGAACAGATGTGGAAGAAGACAAATTACTTAATTACAGCGTCGCCATTGTCAGAATTACCTTGAAAACGGGAGTCTGCATAATTGAATACCAGCTTCGATAATAGCTTTTACCAAAAGATGGGGCAAAAGTTTATCGGAAATAGAAGGTCGTGAGAGTACACAGGAGGTTGGCTGGGGTTTGTACTTCACGTTTGAACGAAAAACAAAACGTACCAAACATCTAACTAAAGCTTAAAGACAGTATCTGGTTCTGGACGGACCAGTTTCCCTGGAAGTAGGTGAAGGTAATCACCGGAGGCGTATGTGTGTTGCACATTGTCATCAACGATACATTCACGATGTACATATATGACAATGTTAATCTATGGCGGATCGGCGTATTTTCGCGATGTCCAGTTCAAACCAAACCAAACCAAGTGTACAGAACTCCCATTCTTAAGTTAAGAAATATATTGTTGAAATTGCAAGTGTCGATCACAAAGAGCATTTAGAAGGCTGAATCCTTAACAATCCAAGAACACCTTAAGCTAGTATGACAGTTCATCTGAGTTTGTAAACCTCTTTGAATTGGAGAACAGTATTCTCATTACATAAACACCTTAAACTGTACCGGCACAGTGATGTGCAAGACAGGAAAGGTGCACCTTCCACAATCCAGTCAATGTCAGATCACGGTGCACCTAGCTGAAAGTGCAGCTCATAATACCCGATCTTTCCAAACATTTTTAAAGTCATTAATTTCTGCTTGTCACAGAGAGGAAATTCATCATCGTGAGATGTCCTTCACTGCCTGACGCCCCGAGGTAATCACCCTGAGGTCTGAGGAAGCATTGTTCCTTCAAGGTTAAGGCAACTAATGAGTACAGTAGCCAAGGCTGGGGCTTTCGGCCGGATACAATTAACGAAACCTAGCTCAACATATACAGGAATCTTAGTGAGAAACAATCTATTATATCAACCACTTACTTCTAGTTATGAGTTACATTAAATTTTGTTTTACTGGAGCCATTGTAAATATAAGTACCGTTTCACGTGTTTAGCTCCTATTTTATTCATTCTTATTGATGTTGCCTCTTAACATGTTACTGCTACATTTATTTCCTCCTACCTCTACAAAGGCGTTGGAATCTCTCAAGTTCATGATCTATACATATAAGATATGGCACAGTGAGCACACAATCAACCACCATCTACACAATAACATGTTGGTGCTTACACAGTAAACAAAGTTAGGGAGCTATAAAGAAGTTAGTTTACCCTAAAGATAGGGTAGGGTCCTGTAGCCCTCAATATTATGGTAAACCTGCACCTATTGAAAATGGAATTATGTATCTAACAAAAGCATACACCTGCCTTGTTGTAAGTATATTATTCAAACAATAAAAGTCCAATTAATGGTACCCTAACATAACTGAAATATGGCAAATAAAAATACAGAGGAAACAAAAGTCCAGTGTCCAGTTCTGCCTTGGCTGTAACCTCATTATTTTAATTTTCTCCATTTTTATTCAGCAATACATCACGAAGATTAAGATTTCCTGATAAAGTCCATCATCGAACCATTATCTTGTCCCGACAGAAATATCCCCACCACAAAAAAGTGATAATACTCTTTATCACCGGCATCTTAATAGCACCGGTGCATTATGGCTTGGGGCGGTCAATATCGCGCGGCTGGCCGCCTGATGGACCGTGCAGCCGGATTTAATGAACTGGTGCCCACAAGGAAATAGTGGACACTAATTCAGATGCGAGCCCACACCAAAAAGCCAGGAACGCATCAGAGATAAAACCGTGTCCAGTTACGCCACCATCAAGTTCACAAGGCGAGACCATCAAGCTATTTTGGCGCTGAAGTTGAAGGATAGGTAGATGTGGAAAAGCTATTACCTGGAAGAAGTACCCAATAGATCTGAAAATGCAAACCGTAATTGGAATGGTACCTACAGACTTGGCACAACACAGGGGTGAGGTAATCTGTGCTCTAAAAGCGAACTTTTTGTGCATTTGCATTGAGCTAAGCTGTGGCCAGGTCGATCACTGAATGGTTACCAGCTAGAGATCTGTTGTGGAAGCTATTGCGCTCATGTTTGAAGCAAATCGTTTGTCTATCTTAAATGCATAGGAAATGGATAATCTACAAGCAGTAGTAAACATAAAGCATTAGATAATCTGGAAACAGATTATCTAATGTTACAAACATTTTGTAGTACTTTAAAAGTTGGTAATGAGGAAAATACTTTTCATTCATTCTTAAAAAAAACGTGTTATACAATGCAGATATTACATCTGAATTTTCAGCTGTATTAAAAATGGTTCTGTATAGTTGGGGTTCCAATCACCAAGGGTGGTCAACACCATAAAATCTATGATATGATATAATCAGGTCGGAGTTCCAGAGGGCACATTATTGATTTCAATATAGAAGATCCTGCCACATTGAATTCAAAAGGAATCATTACAACACTAGTATCAAATTGCTGTGGTTATTATATCTGAAATGAGAGTCTGGGCCGTTGATTATCATACTGCACAGTGCATTGATTCTGTGATTATTACATTGGTCGCAGCAGAGGTTAATTGTAAACATCCCCTCTCTCACCTATGTCAACCATCCATCCAGGGGTCCCCGCAACATTTATTCAGCGCATATTGTGATCATTACGAGTCTCAGCCAGGAATCTTAAACTTTCGCACGATATAAACCAAGTTGGTAACTTGTGTGAGAAATGGCCTGTGAGATGCAATTGGGCACCGCACAATAAACCAATCCCTTCCAATGTGGACCAATGAGGCGCGTCCCCTAACTAGATTTTGCTAGCCCGTATTGACCAAAGTAATACTGCAGAAAAATCGTCTTTTGCCGCGCAACACCAATCACTGTCAGGGCAATGCACGGCTCTATCCATTACCCCCACACCTGACACACGGGGACGTTTGCATAAACGCCATTAAAAAAAGTTACTGGACAATGCATGATTCGGCACACCCTCGACATAAACCCACTGATGAAAAAATAAGTCATAAATGCGGCGCCCTGCTGGACGTCTGTCTGGTTGATGCTCATCTGGCGGTCCGAGTGACCCCCAACGTGATGAAACTCCCATCCTGATATTAACGGCCTTCTTGATATATTTCCGAGTGCTGACCCGCTATCCAACAGCAAACATCATTCGTCAGGGAACGCAACAAAGTGCTCTTACCTTCTGACAGCGAGGGTTGGCCGAGCCTCCTGGTCACTCACTCCGATTCGTACTTTCCCTTGCCTGTATATTCACTTACCTGGTCTTTGTCTTTACCTCTGTTTTTGTTTGCGGCACAGTTTTTCTGAGCAGCCATTTGCTAAATCCTAATCTAAATGCAACAAAACCCAGTGTCTCCTGCCATGATATACTTGTAGCAGTGTAATATATCTGAAGGTGGGGACTTGGTACTGAATATTGCAAGGGTGACATTACAAAAGATGACATTTATGGTCTATAAAACACCCAAGTTTGGTAAATAAAACATAGTCGTGTCACAGAACATCCTGCTATGCCCCCTCTGGGCCTGCTTTAGCCAGGAAAAAACCTTGTAACACTTATTATAAGCACGCACACAAAGCCCACAAAGTGACAACAGTTACATTACATGTATAGGAACAAGGACACCACGCCACAGAACATTATGGACCATAACACCAACAATACAGAACATGAAATGTTTATGACTAAAGCGATCACTCTGCATTCTCCATGTGTATTTTGTAAAATAATATGGGCAGACTGTGTAGGTATGAAAGGAGACGGATGTATACAGTATATACTGTTATAGCATGTATGAAGGTGACATCACAGGTGTATATGTTTGTGAGTATATGTTTGTGTGTTCAGTATGTCTGTTTGTATTGTACTTCTTCATCCTTCCTAATTTTTTTCCACTTAATTCAGCATCAATCCAGTAAAAGACCAGAAAGAAGACCTAGAGACTCCTTATACTAGACTGGAGCATTTTTCTGTACACTAGGCTGAAAACCACTTCTTTTGTTACTACCATCGTAGTCTAAGACAAACCTTTAAGCAATGGTTTTGCTTTGGTCTAGTTGTAACAAAACAGAAAATAAAGAGAATGAAATAGGCCCTTCCTTAATCAAAGCATTCATCATTGACTTACACACTGTGTATTTGATGAAATCACAAATCTGTCTCAAATTACTGCACGAACTTCTTTGCAGTCTTTTCTCTCTCACTTGTTCTTCTCTGTAGCTGAATATATGGCAGGAATGATCCCCTTCATCATGCATTAAGAATGAACATATGTAAGGTTTTCCAGCAATATCTTCTGCCTGAATCCCTGCATGTCACTACCCAGCTCCCATATTGATTGGGTGAGTCCTATCTTGTGTACCCTGTACTTTTTGCAGCCCTCTTGCTGAAATATTCAGCGCCTGGGGGCAACCCACCATCTGCATATTGATTTGGACACATGAGGGTACCGGTATGGTCTATGAGCTGTCAGTGGAAATCCTTGATAGAGAAGGAATGGCGCATATTGAAATAGCTGGAAGGCCTACGTTCATGCCTCATTGTGCTTATTTTATTGAAAGTTTACTCAGGTTTGAAGAGAGGTAGGGAAAGTTGTGGTTTTACTGTGTTGCTGACTAAGCCCTGTGAATGACACATGGGGATTCAGTACCTGATATTATCTGACTATTGATTAAGACATTAATCATGCTACTCATTTATGTGATCTTTAATGTTGTTTTTAACTGTGTTTTGTGAAGGAAATGTGTCAGTATTGTCTCCTAGAGACAAGGTGTTGATGTTTATTCAAAATCAAGTTGAATGAACTCCGGGAAGCCATGAAGTCTGCGATGTGCAGACAGTGGCTTTCTAACGGTTATTAAGTAGCGAATCCACCGCTGCGACAGTTTCTATCAGACTCAACTCTCAAAGGTACCATCTATCTACCCGCACATTTGCATCTTTTACCTTGGGGTCCAATTTCTTGTAGCTGGGATCTTCCTCGTCCACTTCAAAGTACAGCTCCGCCGCGGTGATTGACAGCGTTCCCTTGGCAACCACCGCTGGAGCTATCAGGCTGCAGGGAGTGCTGAAGGCCACGGGACCTTTCGGACGGGGAAAATGTCGGAGAGTACGCCATTAGTGCTGATTTATCGCAGCTGGCCGCTAATGGTGGGAGTAAAAGTCAATGAAAAATTGGCGGTGGAAACTCCACAAAGGGAGGGGGGCAGAAGTTAGATGAATGGGATTACTGACGTTCTTTCAAAGTACAGAAAGGGCACGGAAGTTTGTGAAATATAGACACACGGCGCTATCAGAAATAAGCAGGATAAAGCCATAGGCTACAGGGATGAAAGAGAAATATGGGAGTGCAGTGCCATGATTGCACAGCTAGTCCCACTGCAGCTGTGGCATAAATCAAACAGTCGCAACTTTGATTTTCTTTGCTGCAGGCGAGGGGAAATGTATGTGGGACTGGCATTATTGCCTTTCCCCTCTCAGCAAGGCTCTCGAAAATTGGCAGGTTTGAAAAGTGGCCGTCACACCGAGAATGCCTGCACACACAAGATAAAATAGGCTGGGATCAACGAGCAAAAGGAAATTACCATGTAAAACACAGGTTTCAGGTTCTTCCTGAAAGCCTTCTCTTCAAATGGGCAGGAACGGAGACAGGAAGATTGCTGACAAAAACACCAGGAAAGGAATGGGCAATTTTCTTTTCTCCCCAAGGCAAACATTTCATCAGTGCGAGATAGACCTATACATTTCAAAAACATTTCCTGGATAGGTTTCCGCCTAAATCAGGGAGAGCGAGCCTTTGTGTGCCGACAGAATACAGGGAAAATTGATGCAGTAATTTCCAGTTGTCTCAAGGCCTCTAAGCCATCCTGCTGTCATCAAGGCTTTCTTGGAGTTTTTCAGTTTTCAGTTTTGATAACCCGGGACATGTATATGGAATACCCCTGCTATAGCCTCCCACTTTGGGAAGTTGGCGGTGGATAGCGTTGGAATGCTAACATAGTCGGCAGAGGGGGAAAGAGGAGAAGACTTGAATCTTGTATGAATATCTCGAACATGTTTATTGCATTTCAATCAATGAAATGATGTCTTTCCAATTTTAGAGAGAGAGATGGAATTGCGGAGGACTGGCCATGGTGACTATAACGACCTTACTGACATTCGCTCGGCTGGTATAATGTGCCCCCCATTTTCTTCAGCCAGCATCAATAAGCATCATCTTCATAATAAAGAGTGGGATCGATGGCAGAGAGGTTTCTAATCTATCTGGTCGACAATGCCGCCTGATACAATACCCCTCCCTGACTTCCAGCACTGTCCGCATTAATTACCACGCTAGTTTCTCAAGGGCGCCCTTTCCGCAGATGAAATCCAGCCTGTCTGCAAACATAAAGCCTGGTCTGATGAACTATATGGCACTCTGACCATTCGGCATTGAGATCTGCTACAGGGGCGAGGGTTCTGATTTCTGAATATGGCAGAGGGAGAGACAGCAGAAGCTAAGGTGGAACATCCTGACTTGTCGTGTCAGGAATGAAATGAAAGTGCAAACGTGCGCGGAATGAGGAGCAAAGAAAAGCAGCGACAGCAACATACTCTACTCGCAGAAATCAATGAGAACAGAATGTCACTTAAAATATGAATGAAGCCATTTCTTGTGTCCCCTGTAAAAATTAATGGCTGCTATGGTCTTTGACAATTTCCCCGACATGCCACTATAATACATCTTTCATAGCACTTTTGAATGGGAACGATTCCGACTTTCGCCTCTGATGAGGACCTGCAACCTGCTGATTCAGCATTTTCTTCTCTAATCAGTGGAATAGGAAAAAAGTACATTGAATAATTTACCGTAATGCCAAGCGAAGATGTTGGATGAAGACTAACTGCCTCTCAGATTGGGCCGGGAGGGGAGGAAATCAGGGCATTAAATTTTGATGTCGGGAAGTTTCCTGAATGGAGCCCATTTATCAATGTTGGTGAAACTTTTAGCCAATCAATCTGGTTCCCACATAGTTCTGGGGACGTCTGTAACATTCTACACGGGGAACGGACAGCATACTGTATTTCTCCCATTGCGTATGCATCTCCTATAAAGTATGAGCCACCGATTTGAGGCCAACCACAGACTTGAGCAAGGGAGTTACCATTCAAGAGGAAAACCCTTCTACATACACACACACACAGATTTTGAAGCTTGCTTGCTAGTGCATATGGAATTGGAGGAAATACGGTATGGTGTTTCAATCTCCTACAACTAGTTCCATGATTAGGAGAGACATGCTTCTGGGCAACCTCTGCAGGGGCTTGAGTGGCAGTTCCCAGGTCCTAAATCTAAGGCACTGTAGGAAGACCAAGTCACTAGTTCCTACATCTACGCTACTGTAGGAAGATGCGGTTGCCATGGTAACCTACCGGCTAGCTCGTCCAGCTCCTTCTCCTCCAGCAGCAGCTCCTCAGGGTCCAGGATCTCGTAGTCACGACCCTTCATGGCAGCTACCTCCTTATGGAACGCCTGTCTGGCCTGGCTCACCGCATCTTCTGGTGCTCCTACATGTACACACAGCACAGCGGTCAATACTTACACACAACACTGTTCAACATTTCTGTTTATATCATTGTTACTTGACAACAATGTGATCTTTTCGTAGACTACTGTAGATTATCGAATGCAGATGATCAAAGGTCTGAATTGTGTTCATCTTTTCCCAATAAGAAGTAACTTAGGCAGCCATGATTCTATTTGGACTACAAAAACGCATATTTTTACTGAATTACATGTAGCAAAGTAGTTTTAATGTCTTGAAAATGACAAAAGAATTTTGTAAAAAAAGATTTCAATTCACACAAGAGCAATAGAATTGTGCCTGATGTCTGACCATGTTCCAGGGCTGCCTTTAAGGTAGCCTCAGGGTGCGTGGTGCCGTGAGGGTTCCGCACCAGTCTGCGCCGACGCCTCAGGTCATCCTCCCAGTAGTCCAACTTCCAGAACTGTCGTGGCCTGACAGAAAAACACATCCTTCAGTAATGTACCTTCTCTAAAAATATCTAAAATGGAGTTCTTCCTGCTAAAATACATTGTGCCTTCTCGACAATCATCTGAAATGGTACGACTTACACTAAAATTCTATTCAAGTAGGAACGTGAAGAACATTACCTTTTAGCACTCAGCAATGCAGCAACAATTTTGGATTTTTAAATCAGACACCTACTAGTACTAACCTTTTGATCCCAATACAATGTCATGACTGGTAATACATTAAATTTGACTGTTCATAACTTCAGATGTTCAGTACTGTAACAATAATCTCGTCCATCTCTTTGACTGTCTTCTTTCATTTGTTGCAGCTACCATGCATATGAAAAGAATACTACAATACTTCCACCCCAACCCTACAGTGCAGCAGGTGTGTTGAGCTTACTGTTCTTGTTTAGGACAGCCCCAGGCGCCGTGCTTGCTGGTGAGGATGTTCATGATCTTCTGTCGGAGCTGCGTTGCGGTGACCTGGTCCCGCCGCCGTGCTGCCGAGATCAGCTGGTCACACATCTTCTCCTCCTCCTGACGCTCCAGAGCATGCTGGGCACAGATCGACTGAGAGAGAGGGAAGGAAGGGGGGAGAAATGAACGACTGAATGAATGACAGCAAGACTGAAAGAACAAGTATATGACTGACTGACTGAATGGATGGATGAATATGCCACAAAGCAGTAACTCAAGCAACTAGCGTATGTGATTTTGGAAACGGTCAGACGTTTCAGGTAGCATCCACTACCTTTCGTCAGTAACACTGGTGATCTCAAGAGCAACAGGTTTATAACCATTAATTACTAATTGATATGCAAATAAAGGAAAGACAAATTATCGGGATGTCTCAAACCTTCATGGACATATTAATGGATAAATGTTTTATGAAATGAATATATCTTATGTACAATGTATGTAGTAAATGTTGATATCTGGCCTATATGGGAAATGACAGACTTCTTGTTTTGAGGTAACTTATCCACAAACGGGTAGCTTGTGTCTGGTTACCTACATTTATGTTGAGGAAGATATACTCTCAGCCTGGTTCATTGCTTAGTCGTAGCAAAAATTCTTGTGGAAGGAAGGAAGTCATTTGTGGATTTTCACAATCATTATTACGTGGGATAACCTAGTTGCTGTGGTTTAAAGTAAGACAGGACGAGTTGCTATTTTTACCTCAAATTCAGCATGTTTCTGTACATCCTCCACCCTCTGTCTGTTGAGGATGAACTCAGCTTCATTCGCTACCCGGACCAGGTGGTCTTTCATGGCGTGGGACAGTAACCTGGAGAGGTGGGAGGGGGGCACAGAAGTGACAACAACTGTCATGGATACACCAGAAATGACACACTTAATCATAATACAGACAATCTGTGGTAATAATAGAGGAGTCTAATAATTTTTGCAAGATGTATCCTGTTGGTTTATATTGAAGGGATCTGAAACTATATCTTAATGCCCCCAAGGGTTGTATACATCTTGCTTCTCTTCTTAATTAAAGTCCCCCCTGATTTATTGCAACTTTTATTAGAGTATAAGTCCTGTGTGGTTTAGGAGTCTAATCTGTAGGCTGCTTGATCAAGATTGAAAAACGAAAGGTGTGGATATGGCAGACATCTCTCAAGTCTGCTTGAGAGATAAGACTTGACTGTGTTAGGAAAACTGCACAAAAATTACTGGACATTCTTCTAATATTTCCCATCAAATAGTTCTTGGAAAAAATTTTGTGAAACCTTCAAAGGCACCTACATTTGCAGTCACTTTTATCACGTCATATGGGTATACTAAGTATTCTACATGTTGTTTTATTCCTAATGCTTGAGTTGAAGTCATTTATTGCTTGCCAATGACAATATCTAACAGTACATGTACTGTATTGCCAAATTGTTTACCAGCAATGTTACATTAAGGTTTGCATCAGGAAAAGCATTTTGTAGAAATGTCGATCTACTCTTTATCTGATCTAAATTGGTGTCCTTGATTAGCTAAAATCCTCACATACCGATGAGTACAAATAAAGAGCATGACCTGGAGCAGTCCCGTCTCACTCGTGTGAAAGAATGTAATCGAGCAATCCATGAAAGGTACCAGTGGGGCAGCTAATTTTATTTGTGCTCATAATTGGATTTGTTTACAAAGAATAGCGGGAATGATGACCATGTTTTTACGAAAGACCAAAGGTACAACTTCAACAAGGCTTCATCGGGTCAGTTTTCACCGTTCAAAACCCATTTTCACCCTTCAAAACTCAATTTTCACCCTTCAAAACTCAAATTTTCACCCTTCAAAACCCAATTTTCACCCTTCAAAACTCAATTTTTCATCGTTCAAAACTTAATTTTTCACCCTTCAAAACTCAAATTTTCACCCTTCAAAACCCCATTTTCTCCCTTCAAAACTCAATTTTTCATCGTTCAAAACTTAATTTTTCACCCTTCAAAACTTACTTTTCACCGTTCAAAACCCAATTTTCACCCTTCAAAACTTAATTTTTCATCGTTCAAAATTGAATTTTTCACCCTTCAAAACTCAATTTTTCACCCTTCAAAACCCAATTTTCATCGTTCAAAACTTTTTTCACCCTTCAAAACTCAAATTTTCATCGTTCATCGACTCGTCCCCAGGATACTATGGTTGGCTCTTCCCAGTATGCTTTGCGCGGAGCGCGGTCTCTTTCCCAGGGCAGTCAAGTACAAACACGAATACGCTGTTATTCGCTGCAGTCCCGCCGTGCCCAGAACGTAATTTTATATTATACCGGACGCTGTGGAAGGAAAACATTTCCAACACGGTTCCAACCGCACCAAGGCACGATTTTCAACCGGCTGTTTTTGTAAGTTAGAATGGGGAGGGGGGCCGGGGGTCTAAGTACTTAGACTACGTTTCTAAGTACTTAGACTAAGTTAGAGTAGTTTTTTCGTGTTTATAAATTATGTTGTGGACAGAGTCCGACGGACTGTTGTTGGTTTGTTGTAACCCCAAAACGTACTGCTCCATTGGTTTTGGAACTACTTGTATTTGTTTTGAGTGGCGGACAGACGTATATTTTCCGACATAAATTCCCAACTATTTTCCACTGACACAGTTTCTCCAAATTGTTACATAACTGTTTGGCCCTGGGGAACTTTCGGTGGAGAGGCAGGCCCATTCACAGTTTGACCACAACAATTCAGACGAAAAAACCTAAAAGTAGAAACACTCCCCTCCACATTCTAATTATGCGCAAGGCAAAACATGTCATATCATATTCATAACAATGCAACAGACAGCATATAGGATGATACATTTGGGGAAGGTAGGATACCGGTAGTTCACAACAATTTGAGAAGTGAGAAAGAGCAGGGTGGAAATGAATAAGAAAAGCCAAGGAAACGTGAGACAATCTGTGCACATTAATGAATGAATTACAATGAGCTCTATGCATAAGCAACAAAATGTGGGCTACGAAAAGTGTAAAAAGTTTGGGTCAGCAGAAGCTGCAACTTTAGAATGCAATGGGTAAGATTAGCTAGTGATCGCGCCAAACAGTTATGTAACAATTTGGAGAAACTGTGTCAGTGGAAAATAGTTGGGAATTTATGTCGGAAAATATACGTCTGTCCGCCACTCAAAACAAATACAAGTAGTTCCAAAACCAATGGAGCAGTACGTTTTGGGGTTACAACAAACCAACAACAGTCCGTCGGACTCTGTCCACAACATAATTTATAAACACGAAAAACTACTCTAACTTAGTCTAAGTACTTAGAAACGTAGTCTAAGTACTTAGAAACGCCCCCGGCCCTCCTCCCCATTCTAACTTACAAAAACAGCCGGTTGAAAATCGTGCCTTGGTGCGGTTGGAACCGTGTTGGAAATGTTTTCCTTCCACAGCGTCCGGTATAATATAAAATTACGTTCTGGGCACGGCGGGACTGCAGCGAATAACAGCGTATTCGTGTTTTTGACTGCCCTGGGAAAGAGACCGCGCTCCGCGCAAAGCATACTGGGAAGAGCCAACCATAGTATCCTGGGGACGAGTCGATGAACGATGAAAATTTGAGTTTTGAAGGGTGAAAAAAAGTTTTGAACGATGAAAATTTGAGTTTTGAACGATGAAAATTTGAGTTTTGAAGGGTGAAAATTTGAGTTTTGAAGGGTGAAAAAAAAGTTTTTAACGATGAAAATTGGGTTTTGAATGGTGAAAAATTGAGTTTTGAAGGGTGAAAATTTAAATTTTGAACGATGAAAAATTAAGTTTTGAAGGGTGAAAATTGGGTTTTGAACGGTGAAAAGTAAGTTTTGAAGGGTGAAAATTTGAGTTTTGAAGGGTGAAAATTGGGTTTTGAAGGGTGAAAATTGGGTTTTGAAGGGTGAAAATGGGTTTTGAACGATGAAAACTGACCCGATGAAGCCTTGTTGAAGTTGTACCTTTGGTCTTTCGTATGTTTTGAGATAAGCTGCCTCAATTTTCTTGTACAATGTAGTAGAAGGGGTGGTAGATCTACACAGAACTGCTGTGGAGTACCAAAATACAGCTACATAAAATTCCTACCTTGCCATTTACATACATTGAAAATTTCTACACCAACTTATCTAAAAATACATTGGACAGTTGTTAACACTTTTGTTACAAGACAAGTCGGAAGACAGAAGAGCTTTCTCTCCATATGTGAAGAAAACAGCAAGTTTCTGTGGCTTCCTGCTGTGTGCAGGTGTTGGAGACTAAGACACAAACTTACAGAACATTCTTCCTTAATAACACTTGTCAGCCTGGAGGGACCCCGAGGAACTATTGTCTGGAAACACCCTTAAGTGACATTTCCAAACTCCTTTGTTGGACCCGAGAGAAACAATTAGAGAAACCATTCCTTTGATGAGGTGGTTTTGATAGTGCCGGCTGGTGGTTTTGGATTTAAATTCATCATTGCCAACTTTCAATCATAATTAGTGAAGAATATATTGAACAATGGTGAATACCTTTAAAAGCTGGAGCACCTGTCGAAAAAGTCATTAGAATTTTTGCAGACTGACATGATTTTGTTCCAGTACCTGAGCAATGATGAAAGTCATTTTTGAAAGTCTTTTAAAAGTCTTTGTGCCATTGCATTTTTCTGCCTGGATATTATAATTGCTTTAGGACCTTTTGCTGCCTATTAAAGATACTATGACCTTTATACACAGTACTAGTATATGTCATGAAACTGTTTGTTAAATGACGTTAAAGGCACTAGTGAGGTACCATGATGATACCTCTCTGGAGGAAGTCAGTAAGTGTTTTTCAGAAAAGCTGGTAAATTTTGTATTGGATTGAGAAACATTTCAAGTCATAAGGCATGAAGTAGAGCATCTCTTTTGTAATAAACACTGTTTGATGTTTTCAGTGGATATTGTGCACTGAGCATTAATGATGTAGCCTCAATCACAACGTCCAGTTACATGTCCCACAAACTCAACATTTGGTCAAAGAAATTAAGATAGGACTAAAATCAAGTGACAAGTGTACTTTTCTGAACGGGTTATTACCTAATCGGTAAGACAGAGAACCTGAACTCTTCATCATTTGCAGGCTCTTCTGATCAGATTAATGGCACAGAAAATGTTCTGGTTTGCACATGACTGTTGCAGTGGAAAACTCCTAAAGGTTGAGGTTTATGGGATCTGACAATGGTGGGGGGTACTCGGTACAAGTCAGATGTCATTTCTTCCATCTTGCACAACATCAAAGTGACTCGCTGAATGTTGGATGTCACAGTGAAACCAGTAGATTCGTCGTTACGATGAATTTTTTCAAAGTCTGCACAGTTTGGCGTGTCCTCGTGTTTCAAAGTAATGGTTTTACGATTTTCAATTTTTTGCGATATTGTCACGGCTTTCGACACAAGTTTACAACATAAAATGCCGCCAACATGACTCTCATGCTAATTGCGTATCACAGTGACCAGCGTGACCCGCAGAAGGGAAGGGCCAGGCTGTTTTGGCAGTCCTTTTGTGCCGCGAGTGGGAAAATCCACTGAAGGGGACAAATTAAGACTTTTGGAGAGAGCCGACGGAGGAACGCCTGCATTTTCGGAGTCGGCTCATCTTTGAGCCTCTCAGCAGGGAAGTGGGCATAAATCAGCGGCTGTGACACAGGTGAGGGTCCTCGGGGCATGACTGCCCCGCGGATGGTCCCCTACTAAGTGTTTGCCATATCGATCTTTATTGGACGACAATTACCGTCCAATTATCTGTTATTAGATACCCTTTGAAGAGCCCCGCATCAGACGCGCGGCGGGATGTGGCACAGTTCCGTAACCTGTGATTAAGTGTAGTCTGACAGGGGCTCCCAGCCAAACAAACTTCCAAAAAGAACAGCAGAGCTACATACACTCCTGCCAGGTGCGACTCGACACGATATTGAATGTAAAGCCGATTTGCGGCGACAGGAAAGTGGGGGCACCTGTATGAGTCTGAACTTCTGCAGGACATTTTCCTTCACTACAGACACTTACAGTGTGACATGTAGGAACACCCGTGTAGTAATTACCTCCAACACTAATGATTCTGACAACACGGAGTGGAGTGGAACATTTCGACACCAACAACATGATCACTATGAACACTATCGCAGAGTGGAACTCACTGTCACCAAGTACAGTAGGGGCATTGTCAATAGATAGCTTTAAACAATGTCTAGAGCTAGAAGTTCAAGGGTTAGGTGTAACAAGTCGATCGGTGTAATATAGCCAGCTGCCGCCGCGCCGCGTGCCTGCGAAGCTGGTGTGTTACGCCGAAAGGCGGTTATACCGGCTATACAGATACAGATACAGATCAGCTACACATTACAACACTACATGACATAATGTTGAGTCCACACAACACGTTCATTTTTGAAGATCTACTTCATCAGTTGTTCCCTCTGGCATTCAGATGTACAGCTAATGCTGGAAACTTTGATTCTGTCACTAGTCTATGATGAATGTTACAGTTGATTCAGCCCTATTGAAATTTATAAGCCACCTGCTCATCCTGGCAACTCCCATTGTTCCACAGTTCTACAGTTCCCTTTGCTTGTAACACAGGAACAAAGATGCGCCTGTCTCTGGTGCAATATTTACTACTTTTCTTCATATATGGAATGAGATAATTGATGTCCGAGTGTGCAGTAGATAAAGACAACAATGAAAAAGTTGCCAATCCATCATTTCTCCTTTTCTTACATAAGTAGACCATAAAGCTCGTAACATGTGACCTTCCTTGTGTAAAGGTTTTAAGTTATAGCCGGGACACCAGACTTGTTAGCTTTAGTCCACTCCCCAACTGTTGCTCACTGCTAACAAAGCCAAGGACACTATAGAGTCCTTGACAAAGCTAACAAGGTTGGCATCCAGGCTATCAAAGTATCTGTAACCAGGACACAATAAAAAGATATTATAATGACTTCAGATTCATCATCTGCTAAAACTCTTGTAACATTCATGATCAAAGACTGAAGTTCTTGTCTCCTTACTGTTGAATAAAAAGTTCTCCAGTTTGTAATTTTGCATATCAACCGTTCAGAATCATGTCAAAACATAATGAAGGAATCTTCAAGTATCATGTTTGCAACAAACTTTGTGTCAATCAGAGAATATAAAAAAATCGTAACAATTTTCTTTGAAAGACCCAGGGTCAAAATCATTACTTCCACCTTTCCACCTGGCCCTGATATTTGCAGACAAAAGTGATTTTGGAAATCTTGATAATGATGTAATGATTCAATTACAAAAAACAGCAGGTGAGCTGGCCAAAATTACCAGTAGCAATTTCTTTTCTCAGTCTGTGCCATATGCAACATTGTAACAACTTTGCACAAAAGGCAACTAATTACAAGACTGAGAGGTCAAAGTCATTACAGGTATTCGCACCTGGCCTGTTGTCAAAGTGACACTTTCCAAATACGTTTTTATCTGCAACATATCTGTTTTATATCAATAATAACAACCACATTGTATACCTTGTGTCAAGATAGGTATATACATTGATGGTTTATTGGAAAGACAGCAAGCAAAGACTAGCCATTGTTAACTGTTTCTCTGTTCAGTGTATCATTCTCAATCCCTTGTTCAAATTCACCACTCTGATGCTTTGAGTATAATCAAAAATGGCAACATTTACTGTGTGTCACTCAAGTCTCACATGGTTGCTAAGCCTGCGAACACTTCCCATTCAAAACTTACATGTACATGTATCATCTTGCTGCAGTCTTGAGGCAAATCATCTTTAAGAAACTTTGTTGTCAGCACAGCATTCAATTTGACCTTGCGTCTGTTGTCCAAACTTCCATTTTTTCCAGAATACATGTAATTTCAGCACTGTTTTTCAGCTGAATGGTGGCCGGCTAACAGTTGTCCTTCACCAACAGATAATCATTACATGCAACGGACATTTTGCAGACATAACCAGACGCAAAGTTATGCGAGATCCAGAACAAAAGTAATTATGCCATTGTTTCTTTGTAACCTAATAGTCATTTGCGGATTATTATCAAGTAATAAAGAGGATTAGTAAGATAAAGGCCTGGTGCCATCTTTAGTTCCGAGGCAGTCACACAGATAATGGTGTTGCCTTTGACTACGGCCACCTGCCTTTCAACCTAATTTATCTGGCGTCAATGTGTGCAATGAAATCCGTTTGATGGGTTGTCATATTTCAGCAGCTTATAAACTTGTCAGGGCAATCATTAGGACGTATCATCGTTAAGTTGTACGGAAGCGACAAAACGAAAACGGGGCCACGTGCGAGCGAGATTCTTCCTCGAGAGTCATGTCAGTGATATTTCACACCTCTGGTAACCTAAGGAAGCACCAGATTTGCTGCTATTTTGTCGAGGAACGCTTGAACAAAAGGGAAACATGCAGGTACAACCACTGATATAATCTGGGATCTTCACAGGGTGAAGGCTTCAAAGAGGTGCCGCCAACTGCCTGAAGGGGGGATGAGTCTGCCGCCAAGACACGGACAATAGGGCTCCAGTTACCCGCATGTTTAATGAATTTAGACAAGACACAAAGACGACATATAGACTTGGTATGATCGACCTTAACATGAACACATCCATGGTCATACTATCAACTGGTGTTGGCATTTGGCATTGAAAATGTTGTACTCTTCTCTGTCAATAAGTTGAGACAATTACAAAATACTATGATGGAATGAATAGCCTGAGAACAATGTGCCGTGACCTGTGCAAGATGGGAGTATCCAGGTGTAAGATGACTTAAAGCTGTGTCAGGCTTTTAATGACCTGTAAATGAGAAAGCTGGCCTTTTCAAACGATAAGCATGTTGCACAGACAGAGTATTATCATACAGAAAGATAATGGACAAGTGTGCATCTCTAATGAGCAATGAAGCTTAAGAATTTCTCTCAACAAAGTACCTGAACACAGAGTGCAAAACAGTGGAAATAAGGTTATACATAACTGTTACAATGTACAATGTAGGTGGCACAATATCCTAGTAAGGTTTGTGATCCAAAACAAAATTACAATATCAACAGGCATCAAATACTTTGTTGTATGATTGTGTAGTTACTGAGTCAATATTTGACTATCATCCCTTAAGGTGAAGAATATCTGTTTCACTTGACACAAAGAGGCTGTAAGAGAGCAGTTTTCCTACATAAGAACCATTTTGTAATGTCAGGGGATCAAACAAATGTTTTAGAGGGATACAAACCAGACAAAGGTAATAGACTGTAGTGGTGGAACAAACTTTACCAATCCCTATTAAAGGACAAGTGAAATGTGTAATCTCTGGGATTAGCCAAAACTACTGCCGCAGACACACAAACACAAAAAAGGATGGGTGAATGGCCTAAAAAACCAACCAACAGGAACCAAACAACTGGCAAAACAGGCCTTAAGAGATCCCTTATCTGTTCAACTGTCCTTCAGATAATGTAGTGTGACATCAGATGGGAGTAGACAGAGTTGATTGGTTACAACAACTTTTGAAATTAACTGCCATCTCAGTTTAAGATCAGTCTCAATTCATCACAGAGGCTGGCAGTGTCTAGTGCAGTTCCATTATCAGTGAGAGGCCTGACAGTGACGGTGTGTGTGCGAAGGTTGACTTTTACCTTGGGTTAACATTGACCAAGTATTGGTTAGAATATTAATGTCTTTGAAAACAGAATCAGACTTTGGATGATAAAGTTAGAGAGGTGTAACAACAGCTTTACAAATTAGCTATATCATGTGCTATCATTAACACTATGAGTATTATGTGTCCTTATAATTATGCATTGACCCTTTGAAATCCACGTTCTGATAGGTTTGTTCAGATTAAAAATACATTGTACATAATTATCTCTTAAACATAACCAAGCCAGTGACATTTAACATTTCTATAATATCAATCAAATAGAATATTTTATCAAAAGAAATACCAGAGTATATTAGATACAATGTAAGTTGACATATCTTTTTTGGATTTTGTTTGCAAGCTGCAGTCATGGAATCATGGGGTCATCCAAAGGACAAGTATAGATAATTACTGATCATAAAATCTGTCCTTTGGCAAAAGGGGATAATTGTCCAGTCATAAATGTGACACATCGGTCTCGTTCTGGCTGTTTTATGACGTCCCATCGAAGGTCAGGTATGGATCAGATTTCAATACTGAGAAACGACCGTCGTTAATCATAATTGCAGCTTGCAGTAAACTCATCTCGGCAACCTTTCCAAAACTTAGTTGCATTTTTCTAAGAGTTCTCAAGGCAAACGTATGTGAGACAACTTCAGGAAAACACGCTGTAAATTTTGAGGTAACCTAGCCCAAGAGAGCTCAAGCGGACCAATTTTATGACTTATTAAGTGAGTTAAGTAAGCATTTGATGTTCATCAGGTATTCTGTGCCTGCGGGTTAAGCCTGATGGGTACAATATAAGTCCCAAGTAATAGAGAAATACATGCACATCTCAAGTATGGTCATTTACAGTAAGTGTCTTAAGACTTTAAGTAGGTGACGTACCTTCCCTCGTTGATGAGCTCAATGAATGCCAGCCCCGCATGCTTCTGGATAGAGTTCTGCCACTCCTGGAACATACAGCAAGACAGGATTGTAACTCAACAGCATTGTGTACGAACTATGCATTCAGGAAAGACAACAGCTACAGTGTAACATACATGTAACATCACCCACACTTGTGTTTTTCTCAATGTGCATTTCTTCCAATCTGAATTCAGATAAACTGTTTCAAAGGAAATGTTCGAACACAGTTGAGAACTTTTGTAGGTATACCAAATATCAACATGGCAATCTGCAGAGATGGCAGACTTCACCCCTACAGCTTTGCTCAAAGATGTATTTCAAGTAATGTGACCTGTCTATTTCTTTTAGTTCTATTGCATTGCATGCCTAAGGTGATCACACTTCTTTTTCTATCATTGCAGTAAATTAGAAATGTTGTACATGCAGAATAGTTAGTTATCCTATTAATTTGGTAATCCCGCATACATGCAGATATTAGAGAAAATACGGTACATTCTTTCTCCCAAGGAATATTCCAAATTGGTACTGTGGTTCTCATATATCACCAACAATCTCCTCCCATCAGGGCAAATTCACATTCCTGTCTGCTCCTGAACAGGAGACCACAGAAATCCTGGCCTGGGGCAAGGCTTTACTTTGGCTGCTTATCAGAATTTCAAGGGGAAGTTGCAGACCACTTTTCTATTTCCTACTACTGGAGGCCACTGCTGTAATTCTGAGAACATTTAGCACTGGGAGAAAGTCTGGCTGCTATTGGACACGTCAGCAATAACAATGTGAAAATCATTTCAACACATGAATGTCGAGAAGTCTATAGCATCAGGCTACAAAACTGTTCCAAAGATGCCTACCTAGCAATAGTTAGTTACAGTAGTAAACTTACCAAACAGAGTGAGAAATTCTAAGTACCCCATAAACTGGCAATTCGTATGCAGTGTATTTGCATCCTTACAATGTCTTGCATGAATGTCCATAGTGTTAGGCTACAAAACTGTTCAAAAGATGCCTACCTAGCAATAGTTTAGTTGCAGTAGGAAACCTACCAACCAGAGTGAGAAATTGTAAGTACCACATAAACTGGAGAATATTAAGTTATGCAGTGTATTTGCATCCTTGCATAACAGTGTACATGTAGGTCTGCATATCGCTTACACGTATTAAAAAGCTAATGTGGACCGACAATATCTGTCAATATTTGCACCATCTGACAATCAGGAATTCCTCCGACCATATGTACTCCCCCTACAATCATTATGGAATAGTCCTCTTAGGCCCAATGTAACACGACATTTGTGTGGCCAGGACTTTACAGACGCAGACAATACAAGGTGGTTTCATCATTATCAGACAGGCAGTTTACTTGGACAGAAAGTCGATGACTATTCCATTCTGTTTGCACAGTGTTTTCCACATTCCAGAAAGGTGTGTGGTCCAGTTGTTACGCTGGGGATTCTCACTCACTGTCCCAACGCTAGTCGCCAACGCGCCGATGATTTCCTTCTTTCATCATGGAGCGACCGCTGGATTACGACACCCTCCAAAACAAACTTGAACGGAGTTTGGAAAACTTTCGGCAGAGTCGGGGGCTCGCGCTCCCGTGTCACAAATATTTAGACGTTTGATTATGTTCGCGACAGATACAAATGATCCAGAGGTTGGGGGTTATCAGAAAGTGAAAGCTTATCCTCATTATTGTTTGCCCTTGATGTTGATCTCGGCATTGGGTGACACGGGAGGAGGGGATTATGGCAAATCTCAGAGGAAATACCTGAAACACTTGCTACTCTATTTAACAGGTTTGCCTGAGATGCAGGCACAAGTGTGCAAGTCTGCCAGGGAAGTATTACTTACGCGTGGGAACTATAAATTCTGCATGGAAAGGGACATGCATGATATACCCTTAAGAGGTAGGAGACCTTCATTTTTTGGATAGAGTCTGGAAAGTGATTGATAGACTTCTTGACTTGACCTTGACAAAGATGGCAGACACAGACATAGATCCTACTCAACATGCAATAATTAAGACATACTGCAGGTAATAAAGTAGCAGCAATAATGCTATTGACCTGGAAAAGCATTCTTTATAAATCATTATCTAGCTTAGTCAGTATGTATGCTAACAAACGAGGAGGATACTTTACATATTTTTGCATACATTGTGAAAAATTTGCACCCTGTGAGGTACAAATCTCTTGTATCGACCACAAATAATGATCGTAACCTCTATGGTAAATTCTGAGCTTAATATAGAGGCCATAGATTGGCAGCGCAGGCCAATATTCATTTCCCAACAATGCCTGATGGCAGGAACTCTTTATTGAACATGACAGTCTCTTACAACCCCGACGCCAGTGTCAACCCAAACTCCAGTATACATTCGTCTTTCACCACGCTCCCTCCCCACTTAGCTCCACCGCTTATTTAAGTTGGCAGGAATAACGGAGTCAAAACCCAGCAGAAACCAGCAGGGAATGAGTGACGACTTCATGAAAGAAGACTTTCTCCTTACCCACAACCACGCCTAAATAAAAACTACTTCTCGTTCAAGAAACGGTGCTATGGGGATATTCAATTTTTTCCTCTTCATACATACATACAGCAGCAGTTTCACATTTCTAAGTGTCTGGGTTGCGAGTTTTGAGGTCTGGATGCCTTTGTCTCGCCATGTCCATTGCCACAGGGAATAAATACCTCTGCGGTCAATGCCATAACGTCCCCCAGAAAGCTGGACCATGCTGGTACTGGATGGAAGGGGTTTAACCTTTAATTCAGGATCCCAGTCAGAAGTGTTTATTTTGTCTTTAAACCTAATCCCGCTCTAGTCCCAACTGTTTAAGATAGCCCCCAGGAAGATATTTATTCTACCTCTGGTGGATTGTGGCATCTGTCAGTGCCAGGTGAAGAGTGGGAGAGAGCTGTTCCCTCGTGATCAACACTTCTGCCTCCCAACCAGAAGGTGCCAAGTTATGCCACCAAGACAGAGGGGACAGAAAAAATGTCCTGGTTGTGTCCTAACACTTACAGGTCCATCTCTACACAACTTAAACACTGTGATTTAGATTTAAGGCGGGATTACGGTCATGTCACATCAAGTCATAACTTAGAGCTTAAGTGATTTCCCTTATTGTAAATAGTGGGCTTAGCAGTTTACATTCCTTGATGCAAACAACACTAGGATTAGCTGCTATTAACGTCTGCAGAGCTGTCAATCACAGCCCTATATTGCCCTGAGTTAGTTGGTGCTGTGTTGGTGTTCCACAATATGGTATCAGGTGGACATGATCTTCAATTTCAAACCACAGATGCAACTAGGGATGCCAAAAGCAAGCAATTTGGGCAAACTGTTTTTAGGAGCTTAACTGTTGTGACATAGAACAAATATCTAACTGTAACAGACCAACTGCAACTTATCTGAGTTTGTTTTTGCATGTTTTCTTGTCTTTATTATTCTAAACATTTATCAGGTTTATTTTATGACCCCCCAATAAAGTTTTTCAAATATTTAATATGTTTTCACCATCAAATTCTACCATCTATCAAGTCATCCAAAATTCCATCAAAGAAAATAATGACACAGCTTTTTAGGGACTGTAAATAGGAACTCTTCTCCCCGTTGAGAACATTTGAAACAAACATTAAGTATAACACATCACTGCCATAGTTGTGATGAAACATGTCTTATGAGCAGCTGATACCAACAAGTGATCTTCTTGATCACTGGAGCAAGAAATTGGTTTCTTATCTTAAAGACTTCCCCACAGACAAGGGAAAACTTGTTTTAATTTGTTAGAAACAAAACAAATGCAGACCTTCAAGTTAGCCTGCTGGGAGTTTGTAATACAGTTAATTGAAGGTGCTTGATAAGATCACAACAGAAGCATTTACTTGACAATGATTTACAAACTTCCGAATGAAGGTTCTTCTAACAAATTGTCTCAGCCTCTCACCAACAAAGTGATACACTTGAACTACAGATGACTCAAAGATATGGTATGTCCCAACATTCAGTTTCTCACATGCCCATTGGTTGAGTCTAATTCATCCTGACAAACTTTTATTTACAGTGCAACTCTGGAGACAGACATGTACTGTGTGGTCTTGTTTTGCCCTGTAAAGAGCAGAGTACACTTCCTATGCCTTTCCACACATTCTTGCTGCAGGTAAACTGGAAAGGCTGGGGATGAGTATACTGTATGCTTAAGGCAGTGTTGGTGACATAGTAGGTTTAATTAGACTGATACATGAAGTTTATATGGAGCACATGGTGGGACAATTTTGGCTCTATTTTACCCTGAGGAACTTAACGGCAAATTACTTATCGTGCATGATACTGTTGTGGAAATTAAGCTTAGAATACCACAGCTTAGTCAGAAGCCTTCTTTTATTTCAACTGACAGATTGGCAGTGTAAAGCCTCAGTATTGTCTGATGTCCTGCCATGTGTTGATCTACCAATAAGTTTAAATCAATAATGTGTTGACAAGGTTTCTATGAAGAAAATAACTCATTTACCACCACATTAAAGGGATATGGTGTATCCCTTTACCTTTACTCAACATGTATAGAACACAATTGTTTTCAAGAATGTCATGCCTTCTAATGATACAGAATATCACATTTATTGCCGCATTTATTTGTTTGCTGTTTGCTGTATACTATTGCCATAGAAATGGCTGCTACGGAAATGAATGACAATTGACTACAGCTGGTTCACAAGGTAAAGTCATTCAAATCAAACAGGACAGTTTCCAAGACAACAGCCCCTACGTAGTGAGTAGTGACAACATCCTCTGTAAACAAACACAGATATCGCTCACACTTCCCTGTCAGGCAAAATCTGAGCGCTCCATTTTCAATTTCTGTACTTCCAAGGGGAGCGCGTAGACACCCTGGAGCGACAAACAATAGTACAGACTTGGACTGGTGTGCCATACCCCGAGCACCTTTATACCTCTCTGGAGCCACCGGTCCAAACAACCATATATGATTACCAGACACCTATCAGATAGCTTTGCTATGTCAACTTATTGAGAGAACAATGACGGTGTTTTAAAAACAGTACATCCACCTGTTGTACCAGGGGACACTTAGGGATACAACATTATGTCAGAAAATCTTCATCTGATATACAATGTAACATGCTTACATGTACAAGTAAGTAGTTTTAGTCCAAAAGCCATAGAATAATCTGTTTGCTGACATACAATCATATATATCAGGCTTTATGTTTGGCATAAAATTTGTTATTTTGATTAGAAAGGTGTCTTTTTTTTATAGTCTATTTTCAGCATCTATGACAAAAAAATTGATATTACATGCTTAAGGTTCCATAAGGCCACACCGTCTTACATGTAATTTTATGGATGACATCCGTGCACGCATTGATTTTCGTCTGAAAAGATCACGCCCACCGAGGCTCTGGCCTGGCTTATGCTTGGGTAGTCCATGGTAGTTAGCGACAATACGGAGCCGGGCACACAGGATACTCCACGACTCAAGCTCCACGACTCAAGAACTCAGTACATACGTACAGTGCCGATTCATGAATTCCACAAAAAGCCAGCATGTGCCGGCTTGTCGTATACGTCGCTAAGTACTGCCCAAATTCACAATACCAGCTTTGTATTACTGTGGTTTAGTAGCATTTTTATTTTTGGTCAGAATTTTTTTTAATTCACCCGCGCGCACTAGTTTGGGGGTCTTCAGAGGATGTCATCCATAAAATTAAGTCGGTGTGGCCTAACTTGGAATCTTAAGTTGAAATCCAATTGTTGGTACTACATGTGTATTACTAGGCCAAGGCCTAGGTCTCTCCTATAGTGTTTTCATGGCTGTCTATCACAAAAAACAGCCTCCTCCAACACATGTGTACATTCTTATCTTTATTGCATCCCAAACCAAAACAACTGTTACACCTTGAGGTCTGACAGACATTTTGCTGCGATTCACGACTCCTTTGAAACGTTAACTTTATGGATTTGTGCAGAGAAACAGGACAACTCTCTAGTTTACAAGCCTCCCTGCAGGGTAACAGGTGCCTGCTGTAAATAACGTAACGTCGTCTTTGAAATTGAAAAAAATATCTGGGATTACGGTAAGTAATACGGGATTTCCCAACATTTACTGTCACAATTTCATACGAGGATGTTATGGTCTTTTGGGGTTCAAAGTAGTTCCAGGATGCAACCAGCAGCGAGAAGCCTTGATAATGAGTGCCTTACGGGAGGGCGGCTTGTTTGTGCCAATAACCGACTCCATCACTCATGAGTTAATGGATCTGATTGGATGCCCTGTGTGATTCTAATCCAATATGGAAAAGTTATTCCAGCTACGGGCAAGATACCGTCAAAACTGCCATGCCTCGCAGTAAAATTTGCGCTTGCTTACGATTTCCAGCGAATCTTTTATTATCGAGCGGGAGGGTAATGTGCGACTGGTTCAGATGGCGTACGGCATTGCGGGGAGAGCTGATTCGCCGCAGAAGGAAGAATGGAATGCGGCCGTTAATTAGTTGCAGGCAGACAGCCAGACGCAGGTTCGGTTCGCCCACGTACGAATGGCGCCAGCGAAGGCATCGAGACTGCTGCTTCGGCAAACTAAAATCACCGGGTTAGTAGGGTCATACACACAGGAATTTGAATATGTGCAATTGCATCTGACAACGCAACATTTGCAAAGCTGAAGCGTCGTCCAAGTCTCTTTTCAATTCTTGTGTTGCACAATGTAGCACGAGTGACAGCAGCAATGAAACTGCTGATTTGGCAAACCAAAATTGCTGGGTCATCAGGATTGTACGTGCAAGTATTTGGAAACGTGTAATTTCATCTGAAACAGCAACATTTAATGAAAGCCCACATCTTTGTTCTGGACAATCAAGTGCTCGACTCTTTCTCCAAATTATAGCCATGATAATTGACTCCCATAATGGTCGACGGGTCCAAAATATAAGCTCTTTTAAAATCTCAGTATATATCATACTAAGAACAGTTTGTATAGTTTCCAGGAGTAATGTGTTGCTAGTGTAGGTAGTATCATCTCCTATCACATATTCCAACCTTCTTATCAGAGTATACCTAGCTGGATATCATCGTTCTGTACCTTTTTTCCAAAAAACAAGCACATAATGCACAAATAGAGTACAAGTATAGAAATCCAGAAAACATGACTTGTCATCCGGATCCTGCTGTTACCCATTTCTCACAATACATTCCCATCAACGGGGCGTGATCTGTTTGAACAAGATGGCCGCCATGTTTGCGTGGCAGTGCCTCATGTACATCATACCAAGTATATTAAGTACAACCTTCCGATTGCAACTCCACTGACAACGCAGCACAACACCAGATACAGACTCCTGTATTCTGGACTTATGGTGGACGCTAATGTGATACTTTAACACCTACATGTGGCTAATGCAATCTTGACACTTGACAATCAGTGTTGCAGTATCACTGCTTGAAATGCCTAACTGGTACTCAATGCCTAACTTTGTCTTCCTACAACATACAGTTAGGTACAATCTGCACTGGGTGTGTATACTGGGGTGTGTATTTGTGTTAAGCTATTTTTAAGGATGTACAAAACACTGGCATTGTTGTTGTTACTAGAGAATTTTATGATAAAACATCTCAATAGTTAACTACCAGAACATCAGTATTCGTCAGCCATGAATTACATGTGTGTAAATGCAACTGCCTGCCAGCCATTTCATCAAAAGGATAATTTACACCACCTATTGAGCTTTGAGAGAATTGCAGCATCGGATACTTGCATTACATGGTCAAACTTACACATGTAAAAGACAACAATTATACCTAGTACCCAAAAGTATGGAATTATTTTCTGTCTTGACCACGTACCTGTGAACACAGCATCATGACAAGTTCCACTACAGATGTGCTGGACTTCATACACACCAGACCTGCATGGAGGAGGGAGGAAGGATGCGTTACATCTGTGGAAGTGTAGGGGGCACTGTTGCACCAACGAGATGGAAGAAAGAATATTCCTGACAGCCCGACTCTTGTTACTGTTTTTGGCAACAACTCTGGGGTGGAGCTTTTAAGTGTATTATGTGTCCAGTTGGGAAAAATTCTAGGAATTTGTCAGTCATACAGTAGTGTATACCTTCAATTAGGGCTGCGTACCTAAACGTAACATCAGGTACAGGTACAGGTACCGGTACAGAGGTTTAGGTACAGGTCCGGACCTGTACCTGTACCTGAACAATTTGACGCGGCAAAATACAGACACAACACAAAAGCAACAAAGGCGGAAGGGAAAATGACTGACCTCTGACCTGATTTGAGTTTGTTGACCAATCACAACCCTGGATCAGCCACACTCTCGTGATGTCTCGTGAGACTGAGGATCTCAAATCAATCGACGGTGTCTTTTCCAGTGCTAATTTTTCGTCTTTGTGGTAGGATTTACCTATCTTTAGGCATATACATGGTGTAAACTAGCTATTTCGGTATATACTCGTTACTTCATGATCCGGTATTTTGGACCTGTACCGAAACGATTTTTACGGTATTGGACCGGTACAGTGTACCGGTCCGCAGCCCTACCTTCAATGAGCAGCTCCTGGCCATGGCTTCCCACTAGTGTCCTGGACAGAAACTGAGCAAAGTCCAGGAAGATTTCCCTCAGCAGTGGTGCCACTGTCTCCAGCGACCTCTCCAGCTTGGAGGTCACTGTGTCATTGTGCCTCTCAGGGAAACCTGATAGAAAAAAAATAACAAAAGCAATAATACTTTAGATTAAAAAAAACAGCTTCCTTACTTTGCATACTTGTATAAAAGCTCATCTCTATTCAGATCTGTAGTGAAGCACTGAAGAGAAGAGACCTTCTTCCAACAGAGATGAACTTAATGAAACCTTGGCTGAGCCTTTAGCTTTCTTGACAAATCATACTCGCAGGTAGCCTGGGTGCCAGGGCCTACACAGACCAGTTCCTTGGCTCCAGGCCCAACATGCCCGAAAGGAAATTATACCACAGCCCACCTCAATTAGGAGCTAGTCTATGCTGGCTAACTCTGGGCCTAGCATGCTATGGGTCTGGCATTCAGACTAACACGTAAGTACAGCTACCACATTTCTGTAGATGGTAATGATCCATACAACATTTAGGAACTGTTCTGCTGGTACGGCACATACATATGTATGATGATACAGTGTATTAGTATCCATTCCTTAGTTACCCTTACTGTTGGGTAATACTATTGTGTGGAGCTGTGTACCTGAGTGGAAGCTGTGAGGCCTGGGGAGACCAGAACCAGGACCAAACCCAGACGGGGTGGACTGGGACCGGGTCCTCATGCCTCCTGCCACCCCTGTCTGAGGGGGCGGTCTGGGGATCACCACTGCTTGGTCTGGAAAGAAGCAAGAAAATGTTGAAAGTGTATGTACTAAATTAAATGTAGAAGTAGTATATGTAGTAGTACACATAAGTATGTAGAGGGTGATATCTCTGTAAATTTTGTATATAGTGAGATATCTCTGTGTTTTATACATGACCTGTACTTATCTTGCAATAGCATAAATGTACAAGGACTTTCAGTCATTCAATAAAGGTGATTTTTCAAGAACTAAAGATCCATTGTTACAACACTGAAATCATTTGCCAAACCACTACGTATTGTTTCTACACCCATTGTAAAAATCTGCAATATTTATATATAATCTTGAGGTAGCAGACATGTAAACAGTAAATGTTAACTTAAAGGTAAAGAAACAGACTGTCATAATACAATTTTGATGCAAAAAAGACTGTCACATAACATCACATTCACCAGAAATGTGCTTCTGATGTGGAAACTGAACCAAGAACCGACAGACCAATAGAAAGGCTAACTGCTTCTTCAATAAATCTGAACATGTTAGTGGTCATGTCTAAAAAATAATAGTTTGATGTGCTGGTGTGAAAAGAGAAAATAGGAGGAAAGAAGAAAAACTGATGGAATGGGCACGTCACCTGTAGATTCAGTCTTACTTGAACTGATGCCGTTAGTGTTCATGACGGGCGGCTCGTGCCTAACGATGCTCCTGTCAAAGGAGTTCCACTTCACAGGCTTGTTGTTGACTGTGGGTTTTGTGTACGCTTCTTCTGTCACCTCGTACACCACAGATGTGGGGCTGTACTGGGCCTAGAGAGAAAAGAAAGTTTTCATTTTCCCTCTATTGTATATAGATTTGGGGGAACTGCATTTACATCTTTTGGTTGTAATCAGTTATCTTTAGAAATATAAATTTTCCATTCATCTGACTTGATTTTGTCATGGTTCATCCAAAAATATCTATGTTTTCAGCTTTGTTTCAGTCACAATTTTCATATCATCACATATAGTTCAAGTGTCTTGGTACAGAAAATAGCTCACAATAAAATAGACCACAATCATAATAATTTTGTCTGTTAGACAATTTGTTCACCAAAATAAAGACTCTTCGAATATCTTAAGTATGTATAAAGAGTCATTCAGAAAAAGCATGCCAAAAATCAGACTGTCTCCATATACATTGTAGTATAAAATAATCATATTGAAGGAACCAGAAGATTGTGTGGATTGGTCAAGAGCTTCGAAAACAAATCAACCCCTGATGTTGACCTTGACCTTGACCTTGATCCTTCCCGTTACCTGTATGACCTCCTCGTCAGGTTTGTCGTCCTGCTCAGCGGACATGGCCTTTAGTTTCCGTAGCAACGCTGCCACGTGAGACGGGGTCGGCAGGGAGTCCTCCTCCTCTTTTTTCTCATCTACACACTCAGTTTTCACCTACATTATGCAGTGTTAAACAGCAGAGGGAGAGAAGGGAAGATAGACAGAAGGATGGAACTATAGTGGCTACAAGACAATGGTGTAAGTTGCTTTTCAACATGACTGTAGTTTTTTTCAGAACTATCATTCCTACTGAACTGTTTTTATCTCAACTTGATTGTTTTCAGGCTGCAACATATTTACTGAAATTACATTTTTTCCCTTTCTGAAGAAATTAAAAAGATAGATTCTCAAATCAGAATCTCTTGCTTCCTTTACTCTTTTTCAATTAAAAGTTTACTTCTATATTTGAAGTAAAAAAAACTATCATATTATATTTATTAATACTGCTCATTACCGTTTTGAGGCACATTAAAAAAATGAATGGTATGATGATGACAACATAAAAAAAAACTGATATAGGTTTTTAAAGTCACATAATTTGCTTGATCCTCAAAACACTGATACCACAGAAACAAAAAAATGTGTGGGCCAAAAAAGACTGGCTGTAAAATAATGGACACATTCTAACCTGGTCGTAGGTTAGAATCACAAAAACGAACAAACAGAAACACCCACAGAAAAGAAAAAAGACTGAAACTGAGAAAAGCCCCCACCGACAACACAAGTAAAGCAACTATTACTGTAAAACCCACCTCCAATGCAACAAGGACTCACCTCGGTAGCAGTTACAGGTGCTGCTGCCCCCTGTTCTTCAAGTGGTATCTCCTCAAACTTGTCCTCTTGAACAGGCAATGGCTGGTGTTGTACCTCCTCAGTTGTTACAGTTACTGGTGTTTCAGGCTTGATTTCTGCAGGCTGTATGGGTGCCTCTGCCGGCTTTGGACTTTCTTTGTTATCTTCCCCCTTCTTGTCTTCTGTGACTTGTGTTGCATCTTTCTGTGTTTCATCTTCCAGCATTTTCTCCTTGGCGAGTAGCGTCTGCGTGTTTTCACTGGTAAAAACATTAGTTTCGAAATCCAGTCCCTCGTACTGTGTCTCTGGGCTTGGGCGGGTATCTAGCACGCTGGGTGAAATTTCTTGCTTAGCGCTTGCAGCTGTTCCTGCTGTATCTTTTGCACTTTCCGACTCATTTTTCGCATTTGCTGACAATTGCTCTGGTGCTGCAGCCACATCCTTTAGCTCAGCGGTTTTCTTTATTGCATCATTCTTCTGTTCTAATCTGCTGTTCTCCTTCGTGTTGCTTGCTGCTGATGCAGCCACTCCCTCCGGAGCTGTCCCCCCCTTCCCGGCAGTAGACCCTTCCATGACCTGGTGGTTGGCGGCGTGCGTCGCCCTCCAGCCGGCGTTGCTGAAGTTTGCGGGCTGTCCCGTGGGCGAGTTGACGGCGCTGCGCGTGCGCCGGTAGGGCTCGGATGGAGACAGGTCGGGGTGGGTGGGTTCCAGGATGTCGCGGTATTTCGACACCATCAGGACTGAGATGAAATACACCACGGCCAGGCAGAGGAACTGGGCTTGCTTACTATCCTCCTGGAGATCAAAATAAGAAAACACATGTTTATATCCAGATTGGTAAAGTCAGTATGCTGGTTTTCATATAGGAACTGGACTTGTGGAACAGTCAGTTTTTACAAGAAGTCGAATCTGTCCTTGGTGCTGAATGTCTTTCACACAGAAAAATCCATTTTATTCAGACATCAAAATAGTCAAAATCACAGCTCTTGAACCTTTCCCTTCAATATACAAACAATGAATATGTATTTTACATATACAGCATCTCGATGATTAAAAACATAGAGGTAAAGTGATATTTTTCTTAGTTGCAACTACAATCATAAGATACATATTACACGTATTCCCTCAATTATTCCATGCACTTGCATACAACACGTCATCTTTTTAAACACAAAAATTAAAAACAATCTCTTCAACTCACGACATCTCGATAGACCACGGCCCGTAGCCTGTTGATGTCCATGTCCTGCAGCAGTCTCTCTGGGTCGGTCACCATGGACACCACACCCGGCAACCCCGACATGTTCTCCACCAGGTTCTGCACGGCCAAATTTGTAGGCTAAGCAGGCGTGTAGAGTTAAAGGGAGACACTCAGAGAGAGACAGGAGAAGACAGAGAAGTACTAACACAAGGTAGTACAAGGTGCTACAAGTGACAAACAGAGGTTTGAGTGAAAGACAGTCGTGTATCTTACACCACATCAATTTCATTTGTTGTTCTTCAATCCAAGAGAAAACACTAAATGTGAAAACAGAGACCAAGGATTCATGCCTTGGTACACTCTGTTTTAGAAAGTCAAAGAAATGTGAAGAGATCAGAGTCAGAAGAGTTACAGGCTTTGAGTAACAGACTTTTCTAAAATACATGTACAACTCTCTTCAGATCTCTTACAGTACTCTTAGACATGACAACGCAAGAAAGTTTCATGTTGCTATAGAAAAGGACAGATCACAACAACAGACGAAGATACACATTCAAAAGCTAGTACACCTTTTCAGTGACATAATGATACTACAGTCAGGCACAAACAGATTACTGAATAGATAATAAAAAGAAACAGAAAAGTACCTTTTTATATGTATTTAATAGGTACATTGTACAATTGAGCAGTCAGGAAAAGATGAAACATGTATTTGTTAAAAAAAAATAAGATAAAAATGCTGCACAAAATGAACCATCCCTAACTGCTGTGGGACATGCCATGGGCTCTGATGAAATTTTTTTAGGAATGGCGACAAAGAGATGGGCATGCACAAAGAGGTGAAAGCTTTGGACATAGAAAGGTAAGGTGAAGTTAGAGGTTGTAGTTTTTAGTGTGTTATTACTTGAAGGATAGACTGGAGAAGGGAACATACATGATTGTTGGGGCCCTGTGGATTGAGAAACTGAAAGTTGGTGGGACTGAACTCTGAGAAGGGAGCGGAGGGATCCCTGGCAGTGCCTGTACCCTGTAGCGACATACACTGGCATATCAACATTCTCAACAGGGCTCAAAATACTGGGTGCATATGCACCTTAGTGCAGGTAAAATTGAGGCTGTGCAGGTGTTTCTGATGTCTACCTGCACCTAATCTGCACCAGTCCATGTAGGTGTATGTGCAATTTCATTAGTTGCATTGACTGTTACCACCTATGAAGTGTAAAGGAAACAATGGAAGTAGTTCCTACATCCTGATTGGTGCAGGTAGAATTTATTTGGTGCAGGATATTTAAATGTTATCTGCACTGGTACAGGTATGCAGGGAAAAGTATTTTGAGCCCTGTCAACACATCTGTCTCTAAGGCAATTATGGCAGGCTGCTAAGGCATTGTATTAAGAAAAAATCTCTTTGGTGTTTCAAAAATTGATGACTGGCAGACATTGACAATGACATAACCTTGAGATACTTGTTAAACTTTGATGTGAGAATATAGTGGTCATGAAATGCATATTTGGTGCCGATGTTACATCGTTGCACAAAAGTAACAAAAAGCAGAACATCCTTTGCCTGGGGAATAGGGGCATTGTTGAAAAATTGTGAAATGGAAGGTTAGTTGTGAAATGTTGTTAGTATACAAATGGGTGTTAGTATACACACGCACACGCACATGTACTTGAAACAAGGACATAGATGCAAAGAAGGAAAAGAGAAACAAAAAGATACAAACACTGCATGAAATATTACTATAATTGAAAATGCTTGTCAGATTTGCAGAGTCTAAGATAATTTCCAAAAGTTATATCCAATTCGCTGCAATTGAAGACATTTCATCAAACACAAAAATTTTCCATACACCAAAACAATGCACAACCAAACCTTAGCGATTTCCTGAGCCCCTCGCAGGAGGGACTGTAGGTTTTTCTCCCTCAGGTCAGCGGCAGCGATTGTACCCCCGTTGGCAGATGGTTTCTCCTTCTGACGACACTCCAGCACGTTCCTCACTGCACAACAGCAGACTGGGCAGAACAAGATGCATATTGTTTTTAGCTTAGCAGGTGGGAACAGAAATATGTTATGTCACGTCATGACTGCTGTTTCTTGTCCTGAAAGTGAACAGTGATAGGTATCAGATGAACTTTGGTGAGGGATATTGAACATACAAATTCGGTAACTTAACATTTTTTTTCAATAAAAAGGATTATTTTAAGCAAGAATACATACTATTACATAAAACAAGAATGGCAACAGTTGCTGCTGATATATAATGTTATTCTTTCCTTCACATTTGGTTGTTATCAGCTACCTTAAAAAAAGGGTTCTGCAGTATTCTCATCTCTGCTAGGGGGCATTTTCTAAAGGATGGCCAACTATCTTCAAGTATTTGCATGCCTTCTATGTCTGAAAAAATATTAATCCAACTCGATTGTAGGCTGTCCATTAATTGCAAAACTAAAAAGACACTCCAGGTGGAGAAGGAGGTTTGACTCACTGATGCGGAGACACTGCCTGAGGATGCCTCCTGAGGACATGTTCTTCTCCACCTCCAGTTCAGCGAAACTCAGCGAGCTGGCGAACACCAGCACGTCCACCAGGTTCATCAGACGGTGCACGAATGAGATTGCTGCCTCTATAGTCAGGCCCTGGGATGGCTCTATCACATCCAACTCATACTGTGAAACACAAGAAGGCAGGTGTCAGGTTTGTATGCATGGTCAATGCATTATATAGGGAGATTCTTGTGACAAGAATCTCCCTATATAATGCATTGACCTGTATGGTAATAGAAAGGAGATAGAATAATGAACATAACTGTATACAAAAAAGGTTTTTGACAACCTTAAACTGATACTAGCTTTAGTTACATGTAGATAGCTGCATGTAGATACATGTAGTTACATGTAGATAGCTTGCTTCAAATAGCAATATCCCTTTCTTCTTGGGGTGCTAACCTCAAACGCTGTCTTGAAACACAAGCAAGCCTTATTTTAGTCACTTTTCTGCTGCATCTAAGGCATGTTGAACACTTAGAAGCACACACAGAGACTTGACAGTATCAGTTTTTATCAAAAAGTGACTGACATGTCACATATGTATACCCAATGTCACATGAGGTATGTTGAATTTTCACAGACACTGCACACATTGCATTATCAATCACTGAAATAACAAAATTCATCAGGTGTACATAAGCTGACTTACAGAAGGTGAGGTAGCAGAGGCCAGTAGTGGCAGGATCCCCCCACAGGCGATGATGAGGTTGTCACACAGCTGGGACACCAGGTGGATGGTGTTGTGCACAAAGATGGCATTCTCACTCGAGTTCACAAAGTCTATCACTGTCTTGGAGCTGTGGCTGGAAAAATACATGCACAATATGTATTAACGTATCTGAGTATACAACATAATTTGTTTAAGAAAATACTCCTATTTGTCATTTCCATGAGTAAGGCCGCTAAGTAACCTGATAATTGTCAGAACAATAATTTTTATGGAATTTTAGCACGGAAGTTCATCTGAGTTGGTTGATTACATACTAAGTAAAAATTTCACTGTTTTCCAACTCAAATACATTTGACTTGCCAGAACTTTCGACCAAATCTCCCAAAGTTATCGACTTCTGACAAACTTGGACCGAAAAATATGCGGAAAAATCACATGTCTAATGGTCTTAGGTGAAATAGCTGATAGTCGAAAATTCCAGCGAGTGAAATTTCTTTGAGCGTGAGAACAGTTTTTCACTAGATAGACAATTTTATCCTGAAACATCAATCAATTCCTCATTGCCGTTACCTCCTCCACACTTGTATGTCCGTCTCCAAGGAGAACAGCAGGTCAGACAGCAGCCGTTGGTGCATGGGCGACCAGGAGAATTCTGGGATACGGAACATGCTGGTGCGCGGCCCTGGGCTGAACTGCTGCCCCGGGGAACCCTGGGATTTCTGCGACCCTGTCCCGGAGGCGGGGCTGGTGGGCTGCTGCGATGGAGACACCGTGGCTTCTGCTTGTGTGCCTGCAGTAGCTGCTGCAGTAGATGCCACAGTAGAAGCTGCTGTAGTGGTTATAGCTGCAGTAGTGATAGAAGCTGCACCGTTGGCAGAAGCTGCAGTAGTGGTTGTTTCTGAAGTTTCTGAAGAAGCTGCAGTTTTGTCACTCTCACTAGAGGGAGCTGCTTCTGTGCCGTTGGTTTCAGCAGATGGGGCTGCAGTTTTCGCTTCTGTGCTAGGGGGAGCTTCTCCTACATCCAGTGTGCTCTGAGGCTTAGGACCATCAGCAGAAGCCTCTACTGATGATGAGTTTACTTTTTCGTTACTGTCATTACCACTGTTCTCTACTTCTGATTTCAACTCCTCTGTCTTAGCACCAGTATCTGCAACATTACTCTCCTTATTAGGTTGCTCTGTAGAATTCGTGTCGTTTTCATTACTAATACTAGTGATAGGGCTAGCTGCAACTGTTTCCTCTTTGGTCCTGACTTCTTCTGAGGGAGGTTTTTCATTGCTTATGGCACTAGTTTCGACCCCTTCCTGCACTGTGTCTGACACTGCTGGAGGTTCTGATGTGGTTTCCACATTGACAGTCGGCTCTGTAGCACTTTCTGCCTGCTTGTCTGCTTCACCCGACTGTTCCGTTGTCCCGTTTTCCGCCACGCCAGCTACTTCATCAATTGCACTTGTGTCTTGCATAGCTTTATCGGAAATCTTCTCTCTGCCCCGACTGTGTTTCAACGCGGCTGCAACTTCCTTAGCCACGTCTTCCGTCGACAGCTCCTCCAAGTTCTTCCCCGAGAGCCAGTCTGTCTCGGTGGTCGCTAACCTCGCCACCACGTTGTCTATGACAGAGTTCAGGAAGGACGCTGCTTCCTTATTTGCTGGGGCCTTGGCGGCCTTATTGTCCTCTGCAGGTATGCTCTGTGGCTCTGATTTGCTACTGACTCCACTTCCTTGACTTCCAGTCCCTGCTATGCTTTGAGACAGAGTTATGATGCCTTTCTGTATGGGGCTAACAGGACTTACCTCCCCATTTACAAGAACATTTTCATTGCTACTGTTTGCTGACTGTGTGGCTGAGACAACAGAGTTTTCTGGGACCTTTGCTACTTCTGCTGTGCTGTCATTGGTTGCAGCTGCTTTGTCGTTGGCTGTTTCTGCTTCATTAGATGATTTGGTACTGGATTCTTCTATTCTCCCATTTGCAACTGCATCCTTTTTGTCGGTGCTGTCAACATTTGCAGTTACTCCATTTGCTGTTCCACCCATGTTGTTGGCCTGAATATTGCTTGCCTCTGTATTGCCATCTGCAGTTATGGATTTTGTGCTAGATGGCGCTGCTGCACTACTGTCAGCAGGTGTCTGTTGGTCTGTCTTCCCGGAACTGCTGGTCTTTGGAAAAGATGTCACGATTCTCACTGGGCTGACACCTGGGGGCGTGCCAGTCCCTTTCTCAGACATAGCTGTGAAGAAAAAAACAAGGAAGATGACAATTTGAACATTACAAACAACTGAACTGAACTGAAAAAGAGTCTAATATATCTAAGTAATTTCAAGACAGGTACATTGGGGTTAAGGCAAACTATCAGCACTAGTGCAGCAATGCATTTGTAGAAAAGGGTTTTAATATTTCATTCCCTTTTAAAATGTGATTACTTGGCCTATGAAAATTGTCACATGAATTTGCCATTTGTTAATGTACTACACAATGATAAAAAGTTAATGTATTTAGCAGAATATACCCACCTGATATGCTTCTGACTTCTCCATGCTCCAGATCAAACTTCTGGTACTGCTCATAGGCTTTGGCCAGCTGGTTTTTGTGGTTCTCAAATGACACCTGTAGAGTCAAGTAAATAAAGATGTTTAAAAATATAACCACGCCTTCCTGTGTAGGATTACAGATTTTTAACACTTTCTCTTAGATAACTTTGAAGGTTCTGTAAAAGGAGGCAATGAAGGAATAGGCAGTTAAAAGTTAAGCATGATGTTTCCTTGTTTTATGCCAAAAAAACAGTTACTCAAGCAGCTGGATAAGATTTTGGAATCCTACATACTGTACACATCCAGTTGCTTGAGTAACTGTTTTGGTATATCTTATTACCTGGATGTCTAACATTTATCCACATTTCCTTGTCTTACTTTCGTGAAATAGCCTTGAAATCTATCTCTGGCTTTCTGTACAATATGACTGTAGCTGTACCAGTAACACTCGTACATGTACACATGTACATTTGTACCTTGGAATGTGCAATGGCGAGAGTGTCGACCCAGACGCGCCAGCCTCCGTACTCGTACTTCATGGCGTGGTACAGCAGCATGCGGAACAGGGAGTACACCATCTCTGTCACCTTCTGCTCGTCCTTGTTGGCAGGGTGGATGTAACACAGGGAGAACATCCAGTCCTGCCACACTGAACACTGCAGCAGGGTGCTGCAGCAAAATACAACAAACAAGAGTTCCACGATCTCATACCTTCGCCAAATGATGTTAACCCTCGTGGGTGACGAATTCATTATACAATTTTAATAATTGATTTTGTAAATAAGCGCCTCATTTGCATGGATTATATCAGTTGATCATATTCTCCACCCAATGACAGCCTTATCTTAACAAAAAAGGATATTATAGCACTGCCTCATAAATTATGCAAATGAGGTCATGATTTAAATAGATTATGTTTATTGATGTTCACCTTCACTTAACTTCCAAATGTGGCAAGTATGAATTCCCAGCAGTTACAACTGTGAAATTATAAACATTTGCCATTAATTATGCAAATTAGGTCCTCATTTACATAATATATATCCTCAGATGTTTTTTCTCGTTCTCAAGTAGATGTCAGAAGTGTTTTATAGTTCTATCATCGAACAAAGCAGATTTATAGAATTTCCTCATTAATTATGCAAATTAGCTCCTGATTTGCATAATTGTCATCTGATTATGTTAAGCATCACTTCAACTACCTACATACCAAAATCACGACAATCCGTCAACCGGTTCTTGAGTTATCCTTCTTCGAAAATTTTTCAACAAATGCTCCTGCAGTTCCAGAAAAAGCCGCTAGGGGACCCAAACTCATGTCACTTCTTCCCTATCCCAAGAGCTATCTGCCATCCAAAATTCGTGACCCTAGCATGTCCAGATCACGAAATATCAAAACCGGAAGTTCTGCTGCAGTACCTAGGAAAGCCGCCAGGGGGCCCAAAATCTAATCGTTTCTATGTCTCATGAAGACCTACCCACCTACCAAGTTTCATTCCAATCCATCCACTGCTTCTCGAGTTATCTTGCTAAACCACAAACACACACACACACACACACACACACACACACACAAACGCTACTGAAAACATAACCTTCTTGGCGAAGGTAATAATGGACTTGATGTGAAACATGTTGTATTGAGTTGGGGTGGAGGGGGAGGGGGTAGGTTTCTACTGTATGCATATCTCTTCTCATATGATATCGTTCTTCAGTTTTTCTGTGAATTTTCATGTGTACAAATTTTTGGTGCAATTTTCAGTTAATTTATCCCAAAATCTGATTATTCGTACATTACCCATATTTTGATAGAACAATTGTCATAAGAATGTACATTTTCCTCTTACAAAAAGGCCAAAAGGCTTCTATATGGAAAACAGTAGACTGAATATCAACGATAATGTTAAATTTTGCATACTTAACATCAGACATCCTAAACTATGATAAAGCAATGCTAAACGACATGAAAGTGATTTATCATGCCATGTCTGTTCCTACCGTCTGTTCTCCCTGCTGTTGTTGAAGAGTTTGATCATGTCTGACAGGAAGAGCTTCTTCACTTCCAGAACCTTCTCCGTGGCTCGGGAGCTCTTAATCAGCCGTGCCACCACCTGCATAATCACTGCACACAAAATGCAACAGCACAAATATGCATATTTGGAACAAGCCATACAAGTATGCAGGAAACACTGAGATTTTAGAAAGTCATCTACAACATGAATTCTAAATTCGATTTTAAGAATTGGGCCGGACAAAACATACATTGAAATAGCTTCTTTCAGCAATGTTATAACTTAGAAATACATTCAAATATACAAAGTTGTCATCTGTCATAAACTCAACTTGAAAATTCTAGTCCTTCTCCCTGCTATAAATAGAAGGTAGCCCTGTTGCATCAAGCCTGTCCTACATGATCCAGCTACAGGCTTTGGCAGTAGGGAGAAGGTTAAGTGACTGGGTTAAGTGATTGAAAATGAAACAGACAATGAAAGAAACCAGCCATCCTCTGTAGTTACCACTGGCTCCCTACTGTTAGCCTGGTGTCCAGCCTTGTTAGCTTTGGTCCACTCCCCAAGATCCACTACCCTACTAGCTACATGTAGTAGCGGATCTTGGGGAGCGTACCAAAACTAATAAGGCTGGACACCAGGCTACCCTACTGTCACCAATACTCATAGCCAGGTACAATAGACAGTCGGCAGTAACTATGAAGGATGGCAACACACTCACTCACTATCCGGTTTAGAAAGAAGGGCTAGAACGGCAGGTTTAATGACAAGCCGAGCATACGTACTTGGGTTGTGTACTCTACAGGAGGAGTCAGGCTCGGGGTGGGGCACATGTAACACCTGTGTGCACACCTGTTCTGTCAGGATCTGCCAGGAAAAAACACAAGCACGTTACTATAGCAACCAATCTTTCACAAAAAATGTAAGACATTTCAGACATTTCTTCCAAATTAAAGGGACTGTACATGGATTTTTAGATTAGCAGAGCAGAGTAGCAACTGAAGTGAAAGTACTAGGAAAAATGTTCAGGCTAACCTTCAATCTTAAAAATGGAAGAGACTATCACATTTTACATGTTGTATTTCAGCGACACCCCCCATGTAGGCTTTCCAGTGAATCTCCCATGCTTGTACTTACCTCATACAGTGCATTATATGTTGTCATACTGAGTGTGTCTGTGTGTAACATCAGTCTATCCCCCAGCAGGGTGAAGAGGCTGTGGGCCTGCATCAACTCATTCTTCCTCCTGTAGAGGAAACACAGGCTATGTTATAATGTGCACATTACATCTTTATGGAAGAAGTGGTGGACTGCTGCTTTGTATGCATAACAATATATTATAGCAACTGTCAGAATAAAATCCATCCCTGTCCCTGAAGTTACATCATACTGAAAATCTTATCCCTGTCCCTGGTGCTGAAGGTATATAACACTGAACACACCATCCCTGTCCCTGGTGCTGAACTAACATCACACTGAAAACACCATCCCTGTCCCTGGTGCTGAACTAACATCACACTGAAAACACCATCCCTGTCCCTGGTGCTGTACTAACACCACACTGAAAACACCATCCCTGTCCCTGGTGCTGTACTAACACCACACTGAAAATACCATCCCTGTCCCTGGTGCTGTACTAACACCACACTGAAAACATGATCCCTGTCCCTGGTACTGAACTAATTATCACAATGAAAACACCATCCCTGTCCACATTACACTGAAAACAGTGTTCCTTGTATTGAATTGATAAATATAATGCATATCTAGACAGAAGGTAATGCCTTACTTTGCATTGGTGTTCTTCAGGAAGTATCCCATGACTTTCAGAGCCTGGACCCGGATGCCTTCACTAGCTGATGCCAGAAGCTTAAAGATTACCCTGACATGGACACAAAAATCAATGAGCAACAACATAATTATGCAGATCACAGACATTGTAGAAAAACAATATTAATTGATATTTCACTCTTTTACCAGGACTGGGTAACAGCTTTCAGTTATACACGTGGTATGACTTCACATACTGTAATGAAAATACATCTATGTTGTTTCACTGGGTCAGTCCATTGAAGAAGACCAGAGTGACTGGTCAAAAGTTCTAGATGAGAACAATTCAATGTGTTGGAACAAAAGTTTTAACTTGTAACAGCTGACTTCACATTAAATGATAAGTTATTATGGCTTTCAGCTGGGGTACATCTTTGGCACTTCAGAACAAAAGTCAACTTTATGAACTGAAACATGTTGAATGTGTGTTTACCTAACACCATTCCTCTTGTCAAAGGCAGGTATCATGGACGCCGGGTGTTCAGACATGAGGGCCACCAGTAGCTGCAGGATGTCATGCAGGTTCTCATCCTGGGCAAAGGTCAAGGTCACATGTCAAGGGTTAGGAGTCAAGGGTTAACTGAACTTGACATTTGAATATTCTCCAGTCCTGATACCATTTCTTAGAAGAAGATTAAATGGAACAGTGACAGAAGATGATCAATGCATTTACTGAAAATGGCTGTAAGAACAATATTGATTCAGGCAACTGCATCTTCTATGTCAAAACATTCAACATTATTACATAATCCATGCAATCATTTTTATAACTGGTGTGTATGATACAACGTGACTACTGCAGACTGTAACAGAATGCATTTATAAGGTACCAATATCACCTGGTATAAACATACATTGGTGTTACCATCCATTTCTATTCTTGATGATAAAAAAACAATAGCATTTTCATAAGGAGTTCAACACTTCAAATTTGTACGCCTGTAATATTCAAAAGAATGTTATACCTCATGCATAGTGAGCAGGTAGTTGAGAATGGCTTGGAGTTCATCTTCGTCCACTCCTTGATCCTGAATGGGCAAGGGCAAGGGAGACGGGTGCTTCTGAAAATTGTAGGGAAACTTTAGGAGCAGGAAGAGGTCTCACATAGAGACCCGAGCAAGTAGCAAGGCATGATGGTACTACAGAAGTGACTTGACACGAGGTCTCGCAGAATGTTTGCATACAAAATAGATGATACTTCGAGTAAAAGTCATGTCTACAAGCAAGCAGCAAGTATTCAACTGGAGATGCAACAGCTTTAGAACAGAACAGAACAGAAAACAAGATCCAGGCAAAACAGTCCTACTTCATATATTAACATTTTATGATTTTACATATTTCTAGGAAAACATGACATATTTATCGTCAGTTTCTCTTTATATAGTATCTAGTGACATTAACCTGACTCATCATCACAACAAAATCAAGGCTGAAAATGATATTACATAATTGAGATATTAATCCACTGCAAAGTTGTTTTCAAGTACCTCCTCGAAACAAATTTTCTTTCCTCATTTCATACAGTTTTTATGTCATCAAAACACTAAATAAACTAATTTAAAAAACAGGGATGTTCTACACAATTAACAGCTTTTCATTCTTTTGGAAAACTCTAACTCCTTACCTTAAGTATCAGCTGTTTCATGAACAGTAACATGAAGGCTCTGAGAGATTTCACTTCATTCTGTGTGGGCCTGGGGCCATCTGAAAGTGAAATAGCAGGCATAAGTCACAGTTGGAAACACAGCAGGCACATGCATGTTAATGCAGGTAAAATTGGAGCTGTGCCTATTCTTGCACTACTATATTTTGGACCTATATTTTTATACTATAAAAATGTAAGTGAAAGACCTCCAACACTCACCGCTACTTGTGTCCATTCAACAGAATTTGACCTCTGAGTCATATGAGGTCAGAAGCCGTGGTTTTTATTAGTCAGTTCTAATTAAATGATTTGAGCTCTCGCCAAAATACTCACAAGTGAAAAATATGAGACAAGCATGATGGACATGACCTATGATATGATTTGCAAAATATGAAAAATGCTACAGGACACTGACCCATCCCCTTGGGTGAAATGCCGCTCCTGTCCTGAGGGTTGACCACCCAGTAGAAGTGCTTGAGTGTGTGCATGAGCTGCAGTACTGTGCTGACACGCCGGATGTTGTTGTAGATGTTGGCAGACTGGACAAACTCGGTGGCCAGGTACGTGTACAGGGCCATCTGGACCTAAAACAGTGCATCATCAGATAGGTTATACATTCACTTATCATATTCTGAATAGTTTACAGAATGTAGCAACTTATCTATTCATGCCATGGGTTTGGCTGTAAAAGACATACAGCTAGGGTTGCTCAGCTTAAAAGACAGTAATTATTATGTCAGGATGTGGTGGTTGTATGCACCATTTGGAAATGAAACAGACACACTGCACCTGTTCCAGTTCTGTATTCAGCAATATACTAGCCCTACTAGCCATCATTGAAGGGTGCTTCTTGTATTCAATAGTCAATATGAGAGTTGAAGAGGTACAGGAAGTGTTCCATACATAATGCACACATTCCTAAATACTCCAAATAGGGGGCTCAGCATACAAATGACTAGCATGTACCTGTGACATGTGCAAAAGTTGAACATTACACCAATATCTCAGAAACAGTCTGACCAAAATTGCTTTTATACCCTTAACAAGACAGATTTTCCCAGCAGCAAGACAAACACTAATGACCACACTCCACAAAGGAAACTTCCCTTCCATATACAACTTTGGAACAGCCACAATACATTGCCATCATTCTAAGTGCTTCCCTTTCTCCATAAGAGGTGAGTTGGCATATCTGTGCACTACCAGGAGGCACATACCATAGACCATTAGCTCCTGGCCCTGACCCAAATGTCTGCCAAACGTACTACGTTACCTAATGGTGCTGCAGTCTTATTGATCCGCAGGGGAAGGTCATGTGCTCGCAGTACTGTATAACCTCTAGCCAAGGCAAGATGGAGCACACACTCAGAAAATGACAGCTGTAAAAACCTCGGGCAGAGGTCCAGCTATTGTCTCTCATGCAATGAGGCTAGAGAGGTCATTTACGACTAGGCAAAGGTAAAAAAAGAGCACTTTAGTAATTGTTTCAAACAATGAGGCTTTATGTCAAGCTTTACCTAGAGGTTAAACAACAGGGTCCTCTACAGTCCCTGCATTTACAAACTGTTTTCATGTAGGGCAATGACATTAAGAAGTACCCCAAAAGAACTGAACTCCAAAAGAAAGTCTACACGTGATCTGTGCTGCTTCTGATAATGTGTTCATTTGGAGGATGAACAACAAATAGACTAATGTCACCATGATATTTCCTGAGGAAGTGTAAAATATGAACTTTCAGGTAGATTCCTTGGGTTTCTATCCTATCCTGACTGCGCCATGGTTTCCCCTGACAAAGGAAGCTTCCTCAAGTGTGGAAAAGTAATGGATTAATCGTACAAACGGCACCCGTGAGACCTATATCCCACCGGCTTCTGTCACAAATTGATGGCTCTTGCCTCAAACCTATCTACCTCACACCTCTGGGGTGAACGTAACCTTCCGCGTGGTACCGACCGACCGACTCCGATACGCAGCGAATCGGCGCTGCCCTCTGATCCGTGGAAGGAAGGTCAGCGCGAGAGGGACTCCTGAAGCCTTGGCATTGACAACATAATGGTGCCTATAATGGTATTTCTGCAGCTAGACTACAGCAGGGTGACATGCATAACAAAAACCTGAAGCAGGTATCAGTCAAGCTAAAAGGCTGTCTCGTCTCGACCAAAGTGGAAACATGCCTTCCTATAGATTTCCACACATGGCTTCAGGAGTAGTATTGATGGTGCCATCATTTTACAGCCTGGTCTATTGGGAGGCTTTATACTTGTTTGGGTGGTCCTTACTATGAGATTGGCAAGAAATCATTGTTACCAAAAGGATCTGCAGCAAATTAGAGAAGCAACACAAAGTCATCATTCAATGTCTCTAGTAAATCCCTTACAGTACACCATAGCCAGTCAAAGGCAGGAATAGAAAATAAAGACACTAAACTTTTCAAACAATGCCTAAAAACTTCTGCTTCTCAAGAAAATTTCACAGATTTTTATATTTTTCTGCAGAAATAGTAGCACACTTTTTCAGCTAGCCTTCAAAAAAATACAGAGCTGCACTGAGGACAACCCTGCAGATACAGAATTGGACTCCTGAGCCACATGCGAGTGTACATGTACAACAGATGAGAAGAAGGATGCACGTAGAAGTTTTCATCGACAATGATGGACAACCAAGGAACTGTAAAGTTAATGGTACAGGTTTCACCATATCTATACCAACTGACCTTGTCCTTAGCAAATCCATACAGTACATCATAGTCAGTCAAAGGCAGGAAAAGAAAATACGGACACTAAACCTTTCAAAGAAAGCATGCAAACTTCTGGTTGTCACCAAAAGTTTACAGATGTATATATTACATATTACTACTTTGCAAATTCCTGTGAAAACAGTATCACAGTTTTTCAGGTAGCTTTTATACAGATGAGAAAATATACTGCAAACGTAACTGTGAGGTTTTAACCACAGCAACTGACCTTGGCGGGTGTGTATATCCAGATGGTGGGGTTAAAGAGGATGTGGTCCAGCAGGTTACGCAGGAGTGGTCCACCGGTGGGCAGGGAGGCCAGGTACTTAGCCAGCTGGAGAAAACTGTCCAGCACCTGGATGGTGATGTGCTTGCGGGTTGCCTGTGGTAGAAGAGAAATACCGTTAGTTTAGCTACCAAAAATTACCATGAAAAAAATCTCCTATTGTGTCAGTTTTTCAAAGTCTACCATGTTAAGGTTATATATATATATTGCACATGCAAAAGATGTTCTACTTTCTGTTGGTGCACTGTGCACAATATCCTATTCCTTGTTGTCCTATCTGTGCATAGACAGAAAGTGGGATTCCCTTTGGAACTAGTGAAGAAGAGAATTCACCTTCTCCAGTAGATATCCAATCACCAGGAAGCCTTTAGCCTGGATCATCTGCTGCTGGGTCCGCACGGAACTCTGCAGGAGGTCAGACAGCAGGCCAAGCAGCATGGAACTGTGGGAAATGGGGGAGGGGGGTGGTGGTAAAACAAAGCATGTTTGCAATGTGCATCACACACATCAGACGATATAAACCTTAAGACGGAAGGAACTAAAGCTCACTCACTGACTATCCAGTTTAAGCATATTCAGTTAAAGGGTATTCGTAGTAATGTCATTCTGATTTATGTCAGAATGGTGCAGATGTATTGTACTGTTTGTTCTTGTTGTTTGGTCTCTGTTATGCTTATTGGCACACTGGGGAGCAAGCTTGCTGCTTGTGTAACAAGATTTTGGAAAGGAAGTCTGAGTAAAACAGTTAAGGATTCTGAAAAATTTCAGTTTATGACAGAACTGTATGTTACAGAAATGATGTAACGTTATCTGCACAGTTATGAACACAAAGAAGCACAAGGCTTCTTGAGACGATTACAGACATGTTAGACACAAGTACATGTAGGATGCGTACCACACACTGTAGTCCAACTCTCCATTCTGCTGAACATGATCCAGCTGAGCAAACAATGGGAACAGAACCTGCAACAGACATGCACACAGATGTTAACATGGAGGTCAGGACTGTAGTCATGTTATTATTAATATTTACAGAGGCTGTACCAGTATCAAAATTCAAGTTCAAAGGCAATACAATGATATCTTGTATGCATTATACATTCAGAGGGACAGTGTCTGAATTTTGTAACAGGAGGATGAAGTTATTATATAATGTCATGTTATTGTATTAGATACATATAAGATGTGTTTCAAATGTCATAACACTTGGAGTGCACAGAATATATTGACATCTGATGATTTTCCAATCTTTTGTATGAGGTTATATATGACATTTTCTGTCCCACTGGATCTGAATTGATAGACCAAGAGGGTCTAACCCCTAGCATAAAGAAAGAGCAACTGAGTTGTAACAAGCAACCTTATTGGTTGATGAGTGTGCATCATCTAAGCTTGGGATATTGTAAGGCCTTGTTGAGGAATAATTCATGGGGTTCTTCTTTAGAATTCATTGAAGTGGATAATGGACCAATAGAGGATAAAGTAAAGCTTAGGTAACATCTGCCAAAAAACAGTTACTCAAGCAACTGGATATGATTTTGAAAGCGTCAGACGTTTCAGCTAGTATCCACTAGCTTTCGTCAGTGACTGAGAGACCAGAGGGGAAAGCAGGTTTATATACACAACCTGTTGATTGATATGCAAATAAAGTGAAGACAAATTTTTGGAAGTCGAAAAAGGAACAAAAGTCAGACAAGTCAAGACAAGATGATGCAAATTAGTCTGAAAGCTCCTGTTATACAGGACAGGAGCTTAAGTGTTGTCTGTCCTCGGGGCTGGGAGTGCCAAATCCCAAGTGCCGGAAAGATCGACCCGTAGCCCCCCTTCCCTGTTGAGGGTGGGGTTGTACATTCTTTCATATATTGCCTCTTTAACACCCCGTTCCCACCAAAGCGCTCAAACCTTCAGATCAGTCTAAGAAAACCCAGAAGTGCAAACCATTGACCAACAAAAACAAGGCCAACATCACTATTCCGTATGTCCAAGGAGTATCTGAGAAACTCCGACGGATCTTCCAAAACTTCAACATAGCCACTAACTTCAAACCTCACTCAACCCTCAGACAAAGACTGGTACACCCTAAGGACCGACCTCAAAAAGGTACCAAGGCGAATGTTATCTACAGACTCAAATGTGAGGAGCCCAATTGCAACAACACCTACATAGGAGAGACAAGTCGACCGCTTAAAGTAAGATACAAAGAACATTGCCGATCTAGTGCCAACGGCTACTCCTCAGCTATTTTCCACCACCTACAACACAACCAGGGTCACTCTTTCAAACTCGAGTCCACGGATATCTTAGACCGTGAAACACGCTGGTGGGAACGGGGTGTTAAAGAGGCAATATATGAAAGAATGTACAACCCCACCCTCAACAGGGAAGGGGGGCTACGGGTCGATCTTTCCGGCACTTGGGATTTGGCACTCCCAGCCCCGAGGACAGACAACACTTAAGCTCCTGTCCTGTATAACAGGAGCTTTCAGACTAATTTGCATCATCTTGTCTTGACTTGTCTGACTTTTGTTCCTTTTTCGACTTCCAAAAATTTGTCTTCACTTTATTTGCATATCAATCAACAGGTTGTGTATATAAACCTGCTTTCCCCTCTGGTCTCTCAGTCACTGACGAAAGCTAGTGGATACTAGCTGAAACGTCTGACGTTTTCAAAATCATATCCAGTTGCTTGAGTAACTGTTTTTTGGCATATCGTATTACCTGGATGTCTAACCTTCATCGACGTATCTTAGGTAACATCATGTCACCGACCAAATGTCAATCTGTCTTACGAGAAATGCTGACTTAATCGATCTTAGTTAATAAGAAGAGGTCAAGTGATATGTGATACTAACCTGAATGCCCCCTATGGAGTGTAGAGCACTGTGGATAGACTGGGTCACTATGGCTCGAACATCCTGGGGAGAAAAGGCAGGAAATTAGTATCAACATATACAAACTCTTGAGGGTATCAACCATTAGAACAAAAATCATACAAGCAACTCTCTCTATAACTTAGAATATAACAACAGCAGTTTGTTGAATGGATTCCTTTTGTTTCTTTGTTTGGTCATTTGTTTGTCCCTCTGTTCATTCATTATCTACTTTATCCATCCATCCATCCATCCATCCATCCATCCATCCATCCATCCATCCATCCATCCATCCATCCATCCATCCATCCATCCATCCATCCATCCATCCATCCATCCATCCATCCATCCATTCATTCATTCATTCATCTATTCACTTGTTTGTCAATGAAGGTTAGACATCCAGGTAATACGATACGCCAAAAAACAGTTACTCAAGCAACTGGATATGATTTTGAAAACGTCAGACGTTTCAGCTAGTATCCACTAGCTTTCGTCAGTGACTGAGAGACCAGAGGGGAAAGCAGGTTTATAAACACAACCTATTGATTGATATGCAAATAAAGTGAAGACAAGTTTTTGGAAGTCGAAAAAGGAACAAAAGTCAGACAAGTCAAGACAAGATGATGCAAATTAGTCTGAAAGCTCCTGTTATACGGAACAGGAGCTTAAGTGTTGTCTGTCCTCGGGGCTGGGAGTGCCAAATCCCAAGTGCCGGAAAGATCGACCCGTAGCCCCCCTTCCCTGTTGAGGGTGGGGTTGTACATTCTTTCATATATTGCCTCTTTAACACCCCGTTCCCACCAGCGTGTTTCACGGTCTAAGATATCCGTGGACTCGAGTTTGAAAGAGTGACCCTGGTTGTGTTGTAGGTGGTGGAAAATAGCTGAGGAGTAGCCGTTGGCACTAGATCGGCAATGTTCTTTGTATCTTACTTTGAGCGGTCGACTTGTCTCTCCGATGTAGGTGTTGTTGCAACATAGCCACTAACTTCAAACCTCACTCAACCCTCAGACAAAGACTGGTACACCCTAAGGACCGACCTCAAAAAGGTACCAAGGCGAATGTTATCTACAGACTCAAATGTGAGGAGCCCAATTGTAACAACACCTACATCGGAGAGACAAGTCGACCGCTTAAAGTAAGGTACAAAGAACATTGCCGATCTAGTGCCAACGGCTACTCCTCAGCTATTTTCCACCACCTACAACACAACCAGGGTCACTCTTTCAAACTCGAGT